TGTGTGTGTGTGTGAGCGAGCGAGTCCAACAAGATACAGACATTGAGAGAGATGTTGTGAACAGAGGATACTGAATGAAGTTGAAGGCAGGAAGGAAGGATACCATAACTACCTAGGTACCGTCATCCTTATCTATCCTCAATCCTTATATTTTATCCTGGCTGGCTGTGTATCAGGAAATCGCATTTGGGTTTCAATGTATTAGGTATATTATCTCCCAAAGTGGCTGAACTGTAGTACAGCACTCCTCAGCGCCGGCCAGTGACCGACCATGACCAGCTTGAATTCCTCGTTCAAATCGCGAGATCACGGTCATGGTCAGACACACCACAAGGTATGATCCTCTCAGCTTGTTTCCATAATTTCGAGGGCGCATCAATCGTGTATCATTCTCTTTAGTCATTCTCATCTTCTGTTCTCATCTTCTGTTCTCATCTTCTGTTCTCATCTTCTGTTCTCATCTTCTGTTCTGTTCTTCATTCTGGGTTTATTCTTCACCTTCACATGTATGCATGCATGCCCTATCAGATGAAATGGTCTTTCCCTCTGTAGAGATACAAGTTCCTTGAGGAGAAAGACGTATGGTTCATTCCATGCGTGGCGCCATCTTTCGCACATTGTCATCTGGTAGCCGCAAGCATAGTGCACCGATTGTTATTGCAAGGTTTGATGGACCAGATAACGGCTCACCGGGTCGGAAGAATGTCGACGCTATCGATGTCTTGGTTCGGCCATCGACGGGTAGCTCCGCAATGTAAAAGATCTGTTTCTTCATGTGGTGCATTCGCTTGTATATCCTTGAGGGACGCTCTGCGAGCCGGAAGGCAGATGGAAGCAAGCACAAGGAGGGATTGGACTGCTCCCATTTGTTGGTTGTTGTGCACAAACTCGACGCACTGTTTGCGTATCATGGGTCAATGCCTGTCGGGTTCGATGCCTTCGAAAAATTGGGTCTCCTGCAATGCCGGCCTCACCTCGAATGCCTGGCAGTCAGGCTCTGTGATCGGCCGCGTCTCAGGTCTCGCATGCTCCTCGATGGTCACCAACAACCCTGTGTCGTCCGGCTGCTACATGCCTGGTTGTGATATTCTTTCTGTCAATGAACCGTGCATTGTGGTGTCACGGCGGCCTCCCACGGCATCCGATTCCCAGGCGCGGCGTGGTTTGGGCAAATGGCGAACACAACCATAATAATCGGCGCGGTGCCCTTATGTGTCTTCGCTAACCTCCCACACTTCCCGAAGGAAGGGTAGGTAGCGCAGGACTAGCTATTCGTCTCCAATCCATCTCCCTCTTCTCAACTTCGAACCCATCGAAGGGGCGCGAATCGACATCGAAGGGGCGACCTGGGTCAGAAACCAAATCCAGTCTGATCTATTCGAATCAGACAAGACGAGGAAATCGTTGCAGTAACCAGGAATATCGTCCGTCTGCAAGCGATCACACCTGGGACGCGATCCCCAGGCTGGCATAATTCCTCGCGCGCACTTGCCGCATATATAAGTCCTGTTCACGCGACGGTTCTCCCGGACCGTAACCCTTCTGGCTTTTGTCTCGGTTGGTGACTTGATACAGGGCGGCTGCAGCGGCCACGACGAGCCCGGCGATCAGGATGGCGATGAGGATGACGAGACCGTTGGAAAGACCCATGATGACGGAGTTACGCGTAGATCAATGATCAAGGTTCAAGTCCCGGGGTAACGAGTGAATGGCTGGCTTGACTTGCGGGAGGTCTGCAGAGTATCAATGATTGAGAGAGAGTACGTAGTGTAGTATGGTGGTGCGAGGAACGAAACGAAAGTCGGAGGTGGGTAAGTAGGTGGGTGAAAAGAAGGTGACGGGCGGCCGTCGGTTCTGTCTCTTTTTCTGTCCGCGTGTATATACAGTATTAGTAGTCGGTCATCTGGGTAAAAAGCGCAGGTACGTACCTGAGGTACTCCGCTGATTTGAGTCTTGTGGTACTTGAGCCACTCGGCTGTCAAAATCCGTCCTTCGATCGTACCGGTGCCTGGGTCTAGTGTGTGCGTGTGCGCGCGCAGGTTTTCCCGATTGACGGATTATAGTAGAGTAGTGACTCTTTGTCGTCTTTTTTTTCAATCCAATCCCATCCGAACTGCGGAAGAGCCGGGTGGTGGGTTGATTGGTAGTCCCACGGCTTCAGTCAAGTCAGGTAGACTGCGGTGGATTTGATGGCGGGCATCAGTATGTGGTGGTGGTGGCACAACTGTACACAACTGGTACGTCCACGGGTGAAGGGCAGCAAAAAAGGTGTCGGATGGATCCTCTCCTCTTGCTTCCAACGAAAGATTCTCGTGGATTTGTTTGATCGCTCCAGCCCTCCAGCCCTCCAGCATCTTCTGTTGGCTGGTGCGTGGGATCCATTGTTGCATGCCGAGGAACACGACCAATCGCGAGGGCGGCGAGGGTGGGCGAAGGGGCGGGTGCTTCAAGCATGACAGCCAGCCATCAGTCCACTTGCGTCGTCAGCCACCTCTTGGAGTGCTTCACAGGAATAACATGGTGGGTGGCCTGGCTGCATGCGCGTGTGCACAGAGAGAGAGAGAGAGAGAGAGAGAGAGAGAGAGAGTGTGTGTGTGTGTGTGTGTGTGTGTTGTGTGTCTTCCGGCACTGGATGGAAAAAATGTTTCACTTTGTGCATCCGGATGTCTGTGTGCTTGGCCATCCGAACACAATACTCTATACGGAGTGGGAAGTGAGCGAAGCGCGGTACAGAATATAATAAACAAGACACGCACCTAAACTGCTCATCACCTTCGACAACAAACTACGCGTGTTGATCGACTCCTATGGTACACGGGACCATGAGTGAATGACTGACTGACAGGACCTCGGACATCAAGGGTTGATTGATCTCAATAATGTGGCCCGCAGCCTCGTTGCAAAATTCCCTCGTCCAACGTCAACAACGCCTTCAACCTTTATCACGTTGAATTGCTTCAAGTGTGTGAACCCTTCTGCGGTCACAAAGGTATCATGATCTTACTGTACCACAGTTATACTCTGTATGCTCTGGTGTTGCCACTCGTTTAGCACTACCTAGGTACGTTCTACTACTGCTCTCTTCTCAGCATTATCTGCGTCAAGACGAGTGCAATATAACAGTTTCGCGTCTCTACCATGTTGTGTTGTCGTTTCACCACTCCCTATCCCTTCTACTCTGGTGTGAACAACGTCTCTGCCATCTCCTCCATCCCTCTCGGCTGTCTCCCCAACATCTCGCCTATCAACGGATCAACCGTGGCCGTCTCACCCTTCGCAATGGCATCATGCCAACCCGCCCAACTCTCAATGGCCCAGAAACTGTCTTCCGGCAAACTCTTCTTCTCATATTTATGATACCTCTCCGCCTCGTCTCTGCCCACAATCTCGACCGTGACCTTTCGCCCCGTATACCGCTCCACCAACTTCGCAACGTCCGTCAACGTAGCCGTCCTGGGCCCCGTTAAGTTGAGCGTCTGCCCGAGATATCTCGGATACTGCTGCAGGATCCTGGCCGTCGCCTCGCCCAGGTCGTCCCACGACACCCACGCGACCGGCCCGTCGTTGGGGATGACGAAGCGGATCTCGCTGGAATCGCCCCTCCGATATTTCCGCGGCTGGTACCCGGCATACAACCACCAGCTCTCGGCGTAGATCCCTTCGCGTACCACCACGTACTGTAGTCGCCCGCTCTGCTGTGACTGTCTCAGGTAGTCGACCGTCTTGATGTGCGCTTTCTGCACGCCCGCCTCGCTCTGCATGCCCGTTTCCCCGCCGAACATGAGCCCCGTGTAGATGATCGTCTTGATCCCAACCGCTTGGGCCGCGTCGATGGCCGATCGGTGGTGTAGCCAGCGCTCCACGCTGGGCGAGGGGAACGACACCAAAAACAAAGCATCGGCGCCCTGGAACGACGTGGCTAGTGACTCGGGAGACGTGAAGTCGCCATGGCGAATCTCTATCCCGGCGTCCCGGGCCGCCGACGATACTTGGCTGGGGTTGCTGGAGGAGATGATGAGTTCGGACGCTGGGATCAGTTGGAGGCGGAGAATTGCCTCGAGCACCCGCGAGCCAAGATGGCCTGTTGTGCCTGTGAGGACGAGCATCCCTCCTGACTATCAGGTCGTGTCGGAACCAATCTTTCTGGCCTGGACACTTTTTTTCTCAGGGGCGATTGTGGTTCTGTTTATTTATCTTGTACAGAGTAGAGGGTCTATGGAACATCGCTAGATGACGTCGTCTTTTTATATTTCTTTCGGCAGTTCTCAGCCGAACGAGACAGAACCACCGTTGATAACCTCTCTTCATTCAACAGCAAACGATATTCTGGATAAGTTCGGACTCGGTTGAAGGTACAAATGCCAGTGTGACATTGCAGCAATCCTGGATGCAAATTGTAGCGTCAATACGGGCAAGTCTGCTCGGACTATGCTGCTCGAGAAGAGGATAAGAAACATCCTTGTCAACACGGATATAGTAGAGGACTGAAGTCTGATCAAGGATGAAGGGCTACAACGATGGTAGCCTGAGCATCTTTTTCCTGTTCTTGACTCGGACTCTTACAGGCTGGCTATAGGCGAGCATACCACCATCCATACTCTGCCCCTGCTGTCGAATGGCTAGGTTTGGAATTAAGCTGTTGTCGGAAAACCACGGTCTGCCATTGACAACCTGTGCTTCCATTCCCACATTTCAGAAAAACATCGCTTGCTCTGGCCTTTATTAACACACTGATGCCGAATCACCGAATGCCGTGCAGACGTACTTCTCTTCCTGCGGCCCTCAACCCTCTCTCAATTCTATCGCTCCCATTCTGGTCCCATGCTGCCAATATAACGCCTTGCTTGAACGCTCACATGCCGAAGCCGCCCAAGGATCACATATCATCCAGCTGCGGCAATCAAGTCCAATCACAAAAAAGAATGCTAACACACTGACAAAGATTATGGTCGACAATCGTCACGGTCCGTCGTCGAGAACTATTGAAGTGGCCTCCCGTGTTCATTTGCAGTCTCTGGAGGCGCTGCCGTCGGAGGTGGAGGTTGGGATTCTTCATCTTCCCCGACAACTCGCACTTGTGGGTCAGGAATTTGAATATCAACATTCATATAGCCGGTCCGGCGAAGTGGAATGATCTTCACTCCATCTCTGGCTCCCACAGTATGGTTCCAGTCTGCCAGCCATTGCTCGAGTGCTTTCAATTGCCCTTTGATGCCCATCGGCCGGAAATCTTCCCAGAACCAACCAGTGAGCAAACCCATCAACCCATCAAACCAATTCCATGCCGAGAAAGGATTGTACGCTCGAACCAGAGTCTGGTTGATGTGTTCGATAACGTAGCGGAACTCTTGCTCCTGCATCAATGGGTCGAGAATTTCAGGATAGATGTTGGAGAAGGTCGGGGCGAGGTCACCTACGACCATCCAATCTCTTCGTACCCGGATGATTCGCGTGGCCACGTATTCCGGCGAATTGACAGGAACGTGTGGATTCAAGTGCGGGAAACATGGATGCGACGGTCCCCATGCAAGTTCTTCCCCAACACTGCCTTCGTCGCCCTCAGTATAGCCTTGACCGACTTCCTCCTGTGAACCGGGCAGTTGGGCAACCTCCGAGTTTGTTCGCACATAAGCAGAAGAATGTATTGAAGCCACAGATTGAGTGTGTCGAAGCGAACGATGCGAGATGATGTGTCGAGGAGGTTGTAAAGGCTGGTCGAGAGGATTGAGTCCGTAGCTTTGCCCTAAGACCGCGGGATTCTGCTGTATTTCCGACTGTCGCGTGTTGTATCTGGAGGTAGGAATGTGTACTCGTTCCGGCTCTCGAAAGCCATCAGACTCCTGTTTCTCCGACTCCACCATCTGTCCCACGACTCGAGAAGTTTCGGGAATATTGCCACGTTGCTGGTTGGCCGGGAGTCCAATGCTGGTCCGATCTCCAGCTTGGGGTGGCAGATGTGGACTATGCTCGACAATAGGGTCGGTCGGCGAGTGCTGGCGCGATCGACGTTGCTGCGGGAGAGTAAGGAGGGTATGGACTTCGCCAGAACCCACGTCGGGTGAGATCCGGCGCTGGTGTCGAGATGGAGGCTGCACTCGAACGGGCGTAGGTCGAGGGACGTAGTTGATGGGATTTAGTACGCGCGAAGTGGCCGAACGATTGTCAGGAGGAGCGACTTTTTTCTGGCGGGTCAGCAACGCTTCGAGGAAAGACCTCCTCTGGGCCTGGACCTGGGCCTGGGCCTGCGAAGATGACGGCGTCAGGTCGAAGGGCGAGTGCGAGATGACAGGCGGGAGGTCGGCATAAGGCAACGTCAACAACGGGGACGGGTCTGGCACACTTGCAGCAGCAGATCGAGACGCTACTGCTGACGGATAATGTGCATCTTTGACAGATTGTTTTTCAAGCGCCCGCGATGAAGGATGGCTGCGAGAGAAGGCTGAAGACTCCGTGGTGATTGGAAGAATGGAGTTTGTGTTTGAGTTTGCGTCGTCTGGTGTAAGGAGACTGAGATTGAGATTGGAATTGGAATTGGAAGCGGCAGACGCAGCTGCAACTGCGGCCGCGGCGGTTGATTCGCAGCGCGGCCTCTTCCCACTGGCACTACTACTGTTCCGTTTCCCAGTGGCCTCTGTGGCCAGTTGTCTTGCCTCGTCAAACAACGACGGAAATGGCGACTTGCTGCTGGAACGAATAAACTGCCTGATACGCTGGCATCCAACTCAACGAGCAGCAGCATCCTGTCACGGGCGAGACAGTCTGAATAGCATGGCAGACTGCGACTGGACAAATGCTCGTTCTACTGGACCCAAGATCTCACACGCTTCCTGCGGTATCTTTTGGCTGACCACGACTATTAGTACCCTTCTCTTCCCATTCTCTTGTGCCACCATCGCCGGAATGCCTTCCCCTTGGTTTGAGCCACATCCGCACCATTCCAACAGCTCGTCGGCTTCTCGACTGCCCTTCTGACGGCATCCACCATCACAAATCACGAGTGATATTGCTTTTTCGGCACTGGTGCAAGGGTGTGCACCGCACCAAGTCCAACAAATCTCTGCCCAACTGCTGCCGAGACGAGCACGCCTACTTCCCATAATGCTGGTTCATCGCGCTCCCCGCGCAGCCTATCGGCTCGAATGCCACTCAATCCACAGTCCCGCGTGCGAGAGGCAGGTCGTTAGGCATCACTTTTAGAAAAAGGGGAAAGATGTTCGGGCCATATCTTCGATAGACATGCGGCTGATGCCGGGCGCGCCTGGTCTGACAAGCATTGACAGTGGATGCTCTCTCAGCTATCTTTTTTATGCGAGGATCCCATATTTTAATGATTGATATGTCATGGTCTCGTTAGTGAAAATGTACGTAGCTCCCTCAACAATTCTACTGGCTATGCCGAAGAATGAAGAGCCCCTGCTTGTTGCCAGTGGCCTACACTCCTCTGTAAGCCTCATTTTCTCGTGAATTGGGTCATTGGCTGCCTCGCAGGGGGATCAATTCGCAGTAACCATTCCGCTCGCTTTCCCGTATACGATAGGACGATCGCTTCTGTTGACTTCGATTCTGGAACCAGCTTCTGCTATCGAGCAGTTTAACCTGGAAGCGAGGTATTCCGCGCCAGCACCAATATGACAATGCTCAACAAGGCCACGGCCAGGATTGATGTCATCCCTGAAGGCGAAGCCGACCGGGCTGAATGGTTTGCTGCGGCTGCGCTGCTCGCTGTATTACTCGCGCCAGTTGTGATGGAAAATCCCTGAGAAGTAGTCCCAGGATCTGATGTACCCTGCGAAGCACTAGTTGCAGTCGCCGAAGTACTCACATCACCGGCGGATGTCGGTACATAACCTGACGTCGATCTTGCTACCTGACCAGAAGTCGACGTCGTGCTTATTGGGGGAAAACTCGACTGGGTCGGTATCGCTACAGTGCTCAGTAGAGGATTGGAAGTCGAGACAGGGACAGTTGCTTCGGGACCGATGGTGAGGGGGACATCGAATATGGCACAGATCTGGGCTACTGCAGACCAAGTATCTAACAAGAAGACACGCATCAGGATTTCCCATTGCCGTCATGTTCGGAGTCTTGGGTGTCAAACGTACCTTGCTGGTCGGTGGCATTGCAGGATGATATTGTGCAATTGTTCATCCGCTCAATCCACATCTCGTCGGCACAGAGACAGGGCCATTGGCTGGTAGTTTGTTATCTCAATATTACCCTCCTGCCGCCCGACGAAAGGAAGCCCACCTTTGCGTGCAGTTTGTGCCGTCAACGTTGGCAATGCAAGTGAGCTGCGGTAGAGAGATGATCAGCACATTGGAAGAAGGCAGGCTGGCACCCGGGCATCACCTACAGCACATTGATCCACGTCGTCTTGAGCCCAAGTAGAGGTGGCGAGGCAGAGCCATAACCAGCATAAAATTGCAGAGAGGCTGCCGTCGAGGAGTCGCGCCATGAGCGGAGGTGAAGCACTCTAAGTATTTCCTTCCTTTTCTGTGAATCATGAGGAGAACAACGACGGCCGATCAGTCTTTGAACTTGTTTGTTAGGACCGAGATAGAACAGGAGAGAGGTTTAGTCGGGAGAAGATGATGGAGGAAACTAGGTAGGCAGTTGTATGCAGGTGACCGCAGGCAGCATCATTCCCTGGTCCAATGATGATCTGTACCTTCCGCATGAACCGTCTGCTACAGTCACGGTAAGGGGAGACGCGTCTAGTAGTCAACGACTTTGGCCTTGAGGCAATGTAAATGTCACGATCTTTTCCACACGTGGTTGGACGACACCGAACAAACCGTACCTAACATTGCCGAGTTGGATGAACTCCCGGATCAAGCTGTCAATTCATTCGGTCTGACATTCGTATATCTCTCCAGCCCGCCGCATATTAAATCTTTGCCTACAAATACTATTCGTCAGACAGTAACATATTTCAGTACAGCTGATGGCTTACCGGGGCTGCATTGGCCTACTGATCCAGCGGACGAGAAATATCATTCACCTTGTAACTTGTTGTGGTACCGGAACACCAGCAACTGCAGCATATTTAGAATGCCCATGCGAATACCAATGCAAGCCGTCATAATGATAGTGGTCATCAGCCTCATGGATCCAAGTGTTGCCCAATTCCTCCCGATCCAATGCTGTGGTATCAAAAAACTCCTCGTCCGTAACGTGCTTCCCCAATTGAAAGGTCGTCAATCCACGTCTACAACGCAAGCATTGTGGCGAAGATGGCCGCGGCCAGGGCACCACAAGCGCCGAGACCACGGAGCGAAGGCGCAGCATTATCGGAGCTGGAGCCAGTCGTAGCAGCAGCGACAGCCTGGACGCCGAATGTGGTGCCGGTAATGACTTGAGTCGAGCCGCCGGTCGTCACAGTGGTGGTGATGGTAGCAGGGACAGGAGAAGCAGTCGTTGAACTGCAGCCAGACCAGGTGCCCGTCCAAGAGGAGTAAGGACCCCAGCCGGCCGTCCAAGTAGTCCATGCGTCGCAGTTGATGCCGCTAGCCTTTGTACCCCAGGGTCCCCAACCGCCGGGGCCGCCAGGACCACCGTGTCCACCCCACATGCCTGGGCCACCCCATGAGCCATGCCCACCCCAGCCGGACGGAGCAGACGGCAAACCCGTCGAGCAAGCAGAGACCCAACTCGACCATTGCGCTGAGTTCCAGTTACCACCAGGGCCCCAACCAGGACCGGCGGTGATCTGAGAAGGCCAGGCCGAGCCGCCAGAGGTAGCACTGAAGGTAGCTTGTTGCGAGTTTGTCACGGTTACGCCAGCATTGGCGCAAAGCTGAGCGACGGCACCATAGACGGCTAGGTCAAATATTAGCTGATATTCTTCCCTTGAAGCATGTGCAGCTGTGCTATTCTTACCCTCTTGATCGGTGGTATTTGTGCAGGATGTAGCGACGCAGGTGTTCAGTTGAGAAATGGCGGTTTGGTTGGAGCACAGACAATCCCAGCCGCTATTGGAAGTACAGGAAGAGCCATCCCAGTTTCCCATACAATCAGACCACTGTGACTGGAATTAGCAATTGCATGTGTGTATGTGTGGTTGGTCATCCAACGTACTCCGCATGATGGGAGCCATGCAAGCGATGCCGTAGCGAAGAGGGTCGCCGCCAACGGCAGATGTGAGGTGAAGGACTTCATACTGATGCGCGCGCGTTGAGAGAGGTACAGTAGGTGCTCAAGACGTATATTGATGCAGTTGGCTTCGCCCAAGAATACGTCGTCGTCTATGGTCTGAAGGATACAGATAAGATGGGTCTGTCTGGCACTGGCACGTCGCTGGATCTGGAGTAAGAAGCTGGAGCCAACAGAGGGGGGCAGGTAGGAAAAGATATAGTGGGAGCGTCCTTAATCCCCTGCAGTTGCTAGTATTAGGCAAACAAGGACTCTTGTTGGCATCTTGTCAGCAGGGTCGTGGCCAGGCGGTGACAGCAGACTACACAGCCTTGCCAGAAGGCTGGACCCGTTGCTTGGGAGTCCGAAATTAGGAGGCAGCCCGTATCCAAGTTGTCCTACGTAGTGGTAGTAGTAGGCTGAAGCTGAAGCTGTGGCAGAGGATTTGCGGATACATGCTGCCGCTGGCGGTGGAGGGTCGGAGTGTCGGAGGGACGACGCGTCATATTAGTACACTAGAACTGCAAACAAGTTGAAGCGAACGGGGGATTCTTCTGCTAAATTTACCGCTGGCCCTAGGCTAAGGGCCTTAAGTTGAGCATCTCTCTAGGCAGGTGGCAGGTGGCTGGATGCAGGATGCAGGATGCAGGATGAAGGCTGGGAAACAAGTAAATGCCTAGGATCTTATTTAGGGCCGGACTTGGGGCTGGTAAGGCCTGTTCTGGTTGGCCTGAGCCTAGGGACCCCGGCCTGCAGCTTGCGCCGCCTGGGGTTAGGGGGCATCTCTGGTTAGAAACAAATGTGGTTCCGATGTATCTTGATCGTCCCCAATTGCTCAATCGCGCTCCCCGTCATCTCCAGTTACCTAAATAATGCATCTGCCCCATTCGACCTTGACGACCACTGCATCCGTCATCTACCCAGGCAAAGTCATCAAAGAGATCCTTCAGGTAAGGAAGCAACTCAACCACGTACGACCCGACCGCAGGCTCTGTGACGCCTGCACTGTGGGCTTGCTTCTATGTTGGGTCTTGCCCGGCTAAGCCGCAGTTGCTGTCACTCCGCGCGTCTTGTTTCTTTTCTGTTGAAGACCGAGACTGCGACATCATGCGTCTTTATATAACCACTCGCAACGTCTCCCGCTTCTCTTCAGACAAATGACTTACTCATCCGAAAATCCTCCCTCCAACGAGCTCATCGAGTACCTGCTCCACATTACCGTCGGCACACCTCCCCAAAGTCTGACGGTCCTGCTCGACACAGGCTCGTCGGATTTGAGAGACATGCTTCCCATCTGTGGACCCGGATGTCTGCCAGCAGAACCCTCAGATATGCCTAGGCGGCACCTACGATAGCAGCCAGTCCTCGACCTTTACCACTCCCAAGAACCTTCCCCCGTTTCAAATCCACTATGTCGATGGTACCACAGTCAGTGGAGACTAGGTACATCTCAGATGTGCTGAATATTGGGGGCTCGCGAGTCACGAACATGACCATGGCTTCTGTTACCAATCTACAGAATTCTCAACAAGCCATCGGCATTGTCGGAGTCGGTTTCGAGCAGAATGAAGCTTCTGAGATGTCCGAGCAAAGGTATTCCAAGCTGGTTGACAGTATACTATGCTGGAGGAGGGTTTGGCGGAACGACCCGAACTCCCACTTTCGCTCTGGGTACAGCTACGAGTACCAGTATCGGTAGTAATTCGGCCGCGAATGTCCATTGTCAACCCGCGGGCATCTTCACTCGAGGCCACGACTATGTTGGCCGCGAGCTGCCTTCTTGCAGCCAGTTTTCTGTTTGGTGGCGGCTTGGTGTTCTCATAAACAGTGTCTTCAGGGTGCCAAATTATAGGCCATATTTGTGCCCAGATCACGATGCTTGGATTAGCTAGATATGAGTTGCTTGTATATTTGTACTGGTCTAGGTGGGTTTGCGAGAGAAATGATTCATCTGGGTTCACAGTGGCCGCAGGTAGGCCATACCAACTAGACGGCTAGCAGATTCACGGCTTCACGAACGAAAAGAGTCTGGTCATTGGCGTAAATTTGCGATCTCATCTTCGTTCTTTTGCTTGATCAGGAATCTAGGCCTAGAGTATTCTTCTCTGGGACACGTACACCAAGTAACCCCTGGGCATTCTTGTGGGCAATTCTAAAAAAGTCCTTAGCGTTGACCATCCCAATCTTGCTGAGCTGATTCATAAAAGCTACCCTATCTTCGTTCGAGCAGAATGGGTAGTCGACGCTGTACAGCATATTGCTGGCACGATATATTTATCTTAAGCAAGCTATCGGGGCTAGGGAAAACATACTAGCCGTCAGCGTTGGCAGTTAGCGACTCCGACTCCCGACTCCCGACTCCGACTCCCGACTCCGACTTCCTTATTTTACTATCGATTCCTAGGGTGGGTCTACTATAGTAGGTTGTAATCAGTAGAAGGCGGAAGAGTATTTTAGTAAATAATACTAGTAGGTCTAGCGTGGGCGGGGCGGGAAATAGTTAATCCTACTACGGATAGCCTAAGGTATACTACTTAGTAAGCTATTAGGGAGTCGCTAAGGGAGTCGGGAGTAGAGTCGACTCTCGACTGCTAAGGGGTGGAAGTCGGAGTCGGAGTCGCTAACTGCTAACGCTGCCAGCCGTTGTAATGTAGATATTCTCATACTATGACCTATATGATGTCGCGCCGAGGTTTCGAGGCAGGACTTTAAGGCGCGGGTGCTCGACAAAGAGCTTCGAGGCGAACAGTCGTAGAACATATATTAAGACCTCCGAGTACTAGCTGAAGCCGTGGTTCGCTAGGAAGAAGGAGACTTAAGGGCTGTAATTACCGCGAGATGGCGAATCTTCGTTAAGGGGTCAGGGGCAGGGTAGACGTATACGGGCATATCTAGACGTTCGTGGGCAGCAAAGATAGTTACTAGGTAATCAGGCTGCCCACGAAGCCTAGGTTCTTAACATAGCGCTCTAGTTCCTTCGCTGCGGCGTCTTGATGTAGTATTGGTAATATTGTAAAGGCAGCAAAGCGACCCGGGCGGGAGAGTCCTTGATCGCCTTGTATAGCTCATCGTTGGCCGCTGAGTATATTCTTGGCGGTAGTGAGATGAGCGCCATCTGTTATGGCACCCGGTCTTATGAGCCTTTTGGCATTGGGGATCCACCCTGTTGACCCGGGTCTTCAAGGTTCTGTCTGATAAGGAAGGGTGCGGGAAGAAAGCACTATCACAGTGGTGGATACTTTCTCGATGGAGGGACTTCATGCCCACCGTCTACTAGTCCAGATAAGAAAAGCCCTTGCGCGCTGTATTGTAGGTAGGTATCCTTGGACTGTCATCGAACGGTCCTTTCATACAACACCCATACCATACCTGCCTCTGCCGACATGGAGCATATCAATTCCCTGCGCAGGGAAGCCAGAAAATACAGAAGTCGGGTTGATCGAGCGTGCGTCTCCTCTCCCTCCTCTCTGTCTCGCTCTTTCCCCGGGAACAATATTCTGAGACGAGTGTGTTTGTGATTAGCTGCGACCGATGTCGTAAACGAAAGATGCGCTGCTTCATCAACCCCCCAAGAGACGAATGTGAGCAGTGTCGTCTTGGACAGGTGAGGTGCACCTTCTTCGACCCGCCCGCCGTGAAGAAGCCTCGTCGTACCCCCGCCACCACCCCAAGGCCTTCTCAGTTCACCAGAGAGTCCAGCTCGAGCTTGGTCGAGTCTATCGAGTCTACCCCGAATGTCACCCCGAACGTCACCCCGGCCGCCGAGGTGCTGATAAGAAGAGAAATGCTCGTGGCGCAGTGAGTTGTCGTCCTGACCCCGAATCAAGCCCTGATTCCGCATTCACTCACTGTCACCCTATCAACAAGAGAATCTTCCGTCCTGAACCTGACGCACCTTCTGGGCAATATGTCCTGGAGGAGTTCGGGGTACAAGTCCTGCTCGGCGACTACGAAGGTCCCCGAACCTGAGGACGAGAGCTCCACCCATGCGTTGCTGTTCTACGATGGCCGCGTGGTGCAACTCGTCGGATTCACGGGGGAGCATGATCCGTATCTCCTACGGCATGCCGGCTATGGTGACGATAGCTTGTTCACCTGCGCGAATCTTACCTACCGTCGAGTCATCACCCAGCAACCCTTCCCATTACTCTTCATGGTGTGTATCTTGGTCCCAGTCAACGAACCCGCACGTGGCTAATTGAACAACAGATATCCAGAAACTGCACCGAGGCAGAAGAGACTCGCCGAATGGGCCATGCTCTGGATACGGTCGAGTCCATCATCAAGCCCTACGGGAGCAATTTGCTCAAGCTGTACGTCCGAATGGGGCCCCTCTCCCCCTTGTTTCCTTGAGATCGATTGACCAGTTCCCCCTCCATAGATATTGGCGTTATGTCAACCCATGTTATCCCATCATCTACCAACGCCGGTACATCATACGACATCTGATGCGAGAAGAAAAGATCGACCCGGCCTTGATGGCAGCCATGTATCTGTCAGCTCTCCAGTGGTGGGACTTTGACCCGAGCCTGTCGGCTAAACCGCGCCCGGACGAACAGGCACTTCGACACTTTTTGGACACCACTCTAGCCCATGACTTCAAGGGTCCCAAGTTGGTGACCGTCCAGGCCTTGTTGTTATACAGCCAAGCTCCAGGTCGAGGGGTCTCGGAAGGGCCATCGCCTTGGATCACCATCTCTACAGTGAGCCCAATACAAAACTCCCACCAAGGTGGGTGAGCCCAGTCACTAACCCAAAGACTGAAACCCAGATTGTCGCGGTGGCACAGCAGCTGGGCTTGCATCTCGACTCTTCGACGTGGTCAATTCCCCCTTGGGAACGGAAGGTCCGCAAGATTGTCTGGTGGGCAGTGTATATACAGGAGAAATGGCAAGTCTCCCCTTCTCCTCGGTCTCTTCTACGACGATCCAGTAGCTCTAACGACCGACAAACATTGTAGGACTGCATTTACATCCGGAAGGCCGAGCCACATTCCCTCTTCCGGCTGGAATGTTCCCTTGCCCAACGATCTCGACTTCATCGAGGAAGGTAAAACCTTGGAGGACTTCCCGATCCGGAATTTCGTGACTGGAGCACGCATGTTTCAGGCCATGGCCACCATGACCGTGATCCTGGCGGAAATCCTTGACACTTTCTTGTCAGTCTCTCTTCCTTTCCCTTCCGAATGAGCTCCATGACTCACCCTTAGGGATAGCTCCCTCCCTCGTGTGCTTGATGTTGATTATAGCCTCGACGAAGCGCTCCAGCTGGCCAATCCTTTACGTACCAAACTGTATGATTGGCGAATGTCATTGTTGCCATGTCTGGAAATGGATGCCCACGCCGTCAGAGAACTCAACATTTGTGGTTCGTGGTTTCGTGTCATTTGCTTGGTCTTCCCGCGACAAGAGTTCTAATGTTTCGGACAGGCTCCTTACATCTTTGCTATCACGCTTGTCAGATGGCCATCAGCCGTGCGTTGACCCGTACGAAGGCCAACGACATCGAGACAGCCGCCGCATGTTGGAGAGATGCACAAGCGTCGGCTAACAATGTGGTCGACTTTGTCCAGAGCCTCACCCCGGAGCATCTGCAAAGCTTTTGGTACTCGTGTATGTATATACACAATGCACATACATGCCTCCTTCACCCCTCCCTTGTCAATCGTCGGCTGACACTTGCTCTCATAGTTTGTCAGGCAAACCTCGCCATGGCCAGCACTTTTCTGGTCAGTGTCCTGCTAACTAGCGGCAGCGATGAGCAATTCCAGGAGATGCAGCAGTCCATCGAGCAATTCCGATGGATTCTGACAATTCAAGCTCGCCACACAGAGTTAATGGGTCATGCATTGGCACGATTGGACAGCCTTCTAGCCAGTCAGGAGGCGGCCGAATTCCTCTGAAGAAACGACAAGGAGGGTGACAGCATGATGAGATATATGGCTATAGTCATGTGTTCGACTTCTATGTATGTTGTTTCAGTCTGAAAGTCCTTCCTTGCCAGCTTGCGTGGTCTGGGTACCAGAACGTAAGCTGCCGTTCTCACTTCTTCTGACACCAAGTAGCTCCTCGACCTAGATCACTGTTCCCGCGGCTCCATAGCTCTGGGCAAATCGTACCTTGAGATGATTTTCCAGTGTGATGGGAAGATATTTCTGGTGTATCTCCTGTGAACAGAAATGTCAGTTTCGGTGATCTCGACAAGGAGAAGCAGAACACAATCCTTTTGCCAGGCATATCGGAAGACACTCGACCACTGTGTCGAGAGGCCCATCGCAGAAAAAGGCAGCCATGTAACGATGCTTGCCCGAGTGGTTACTGAGCACAGGGTGCATGGTCGACTTGTACCGGTCGTTGGTCCAGCGTTGCATCATATCGCCCAGGTTGACGACGTACGTGCCTGGCACCGAAGTCGGCCTGTGCCCCGACGTCCTTTTGCTTGGGTGCTGGCGATACTCGTGCTGGTGGGTAGTGGTGTGCACGGCACATGGAGAATTTGTCCGGGTCTGCCGAGTACGCGTCGAAGAAGTCTTCTGACAGGTCGAGTTACAGGGCCAGCAGCCTGAGCATGGTCACGATGTCCAGATATTCCTTTTGAAGTTCCGCCGAGATCGAATGGCCAACTGAGTTACCAATGAAGGGCGTTGAGCCGGTCGGGGGACGATTTAGTCCTCTAGGCCTAGGATGGCTGCGACATACTCTGCGTGAAGCCATGTTCCGAGCCAGCCTTTCGAACCTGCTCGAGGACCTTCTCCTTGGGCTGGCTGAACTCGATGTTTGGGATGATAACTGGGTCCTTGTAAGCCATTGTGGCGAGAGTGGAAGTAAGTGAGTGACTGAGTCGGAAGGAAACTTGCCGGAGGATTCCTGGGATCAGGAGAAGATCGAATGCTCCGTCCTTACTTTCACCCGGTCTATATATCCCTTATCCTGGGAGGGGGTCAGAGATGGTGTGGAAGCTCCCTGTCAGTCCCAAGAGCAACGCAGTGCCCGTCAAGAGGTCTGGCTTAACTTGCACCCATACTGGTCGTGTTCCGACCATCACTCGCTTACCGTAGGGTAGTTATCCACCCTCTATAGTCTCCATCATCGCGTAGCGGGCAAGTCTAGAAAGCAAAGGTGCCCTATTGTCATCGCACGGATCCTTTCGTCGGGTCCTTTCGCGCCGAAGTGGCTCACATGTCGTCGAGGCCTATCCAATCAACCACCGGGTTGTGACCGAATCTCTGGATCCGGTTATCTGTGTGTGGGTCTGTACCTGTGAGATGGCTTCTCAAGTGCGGAATTGAATGAGATGCCAGTGGGCAATATTGGTCCAGTGGGCAATATTGGTGATCCCGTCCCGCCCCCCGCCAGTCAGGAGTTGCCCGCGGGCAGCTTTGGTCGAAAGTCTCCGTAATTGCTTGATGTTGCCAACCCTCCATGGTGGTTGGTGAATGTCCCTTCAAGCTTTCTGGTCCGAGTGGCCGTTGCCAGTGGAGTACCCTGTATAAGCTTATCGCCTGACTCAATGGCTGGAGTTGGTGCACCAATGGCAGTACCGTGCCAGAGTATTCGATAGACTTGGTGGGTGGTCATTCCGCCGTCCACCTGTACTGATGGAGCTCTGAAGATAGAGTGACTCTCTTTGCCCCGGCTCGAGCCACTGGGAACACGAGATGGCCAGAACGGGACTGTGTGGCAAGTACCATAGGTATCGTCTATAAGATATAAAGTGCGCCATTGTCACTCGAGTCCGACCAGGACGCTTCACCAGGAACAGAACACACCTTGGACCGCGAACACTTTTCACATCTTTGCACAAAGTCGTCAAGATGCTTGGACTTCCGCAGTTTCGGTATCGATCCCCTTTCTTCCAATGTTGTATGTCGGGGGTCATCATTGGCTTCACGGCGGGTATCTATGTCGTAAGTAATGCCATGCCCCCTTGGAGTCTGGAGATGCCTCCTGCATGCTTCCCACTCGTGCTAACCAACATGTCTACATCGATGTAGGCGTTGAACAGTCTGGGAGCAGGAGGCGGCCAGCCTGACTCGGCCAACATGGTGGAAACCGTCAACGCCACCCTTTGCTCGGTGGCCATCGTCAGCAGTGCCTTTGGTGGCACCATTCTGAACAAGCTGGGCCATGCCATCACCATGTTCATCGGCGTCCTCAGCTACATGGTGCGTATCTTGGCCTCATTCGGTGATATCTGAGTCCTGACAGCAGCACAGATCTATGTCGGCGGGCTGTGGTTTTTCGATCGCCACGATGGATTGGCGTTTCCCCTGGTCGGGGGAGTTCTCCTCGGTATCGGGGCTGGATGTGTCTATGTCGTGGTCGGCCACATCCTGCTGTCGTATCCCGAAGAGAAGGAAAAGGGCTTATACGCAACCATTTCCCTCAATGGCCAAGCTGCGGGATCGGTGATTGGGAGCATCATCCCCGTCATCCTGAACAGAGATGCCCAAACCTCCGCTGGTACGACATGATATGATTGACTCAGACATCCCACTCGTCGTTGTGTGCTGTGTGCTGTGTGCTGACTTGCCTGCCCTTTGCAGGTGTTCCCACTGCTGTCTATGCGGTATTCGAAGCCATGATGGGTGTGGCCGCCATCATGTCTCTATTCTTGTTGCCGCCCGACAAGCTGACTCGAGACGACGGATCTAAAGTCGCCGTTGCGATGCCCAGGACGGCCAAGCAGGAGTTCGTGGCCAACCTGTATGTGGATTAAGAAAGGTCATCAGCCAAAACAAAACCATGCTGACCATGGTATACAGACGTGCTTTCAAGGACTGGAAGCTTCTCCTTCTATTCCCCGGTTGCTTTGCTGCCGAAGCATTTCTCGTCTACGTTGGATCCATGGTGAGTTCACTTCCTTTGTTGCTGATATTGATTCCCTGAAGAAAGTCTAGTTATTGACTTGAGCGAACAGAACGCCTTTAGCAACAACCTACGGACCAGATCTCTCTTGTCTTTCATTGCCGTGGTGCTGCAGATTCCATTTGGGTTCCTCATCACGTGGATCCTCGACAACAAGAGGATGAACAGACGAACCAGAACACTGGTTGGTCTGACCTTCGTCGCCGTCCCCTTGTATGCTGCTTGGATATGGCAAATCGTACGAGTCCGTAACTGGAACCGAAACGATCCGCCTACTTACGACAAACTCGTCGACTGGTCCGACTCGGACTTTGTGTCAGCCTTCTTCCTCTTCATGCTCACCTGGGTGGCTTCGGTAAGTTGAGGCATTGCATTGCATTTCCATGAACACGACCGAGATGGTGGGGTTTGACTGACTCTCCCTTTTTCCGATCCACAGAACCTCTGGCAGTATATCATGATGTACTTTCTAGGAGCCATCACCAACGACCCGGTCCGACTGGCTCACTACGCCGGGATCTACAGGGGCTTCCTCGCGGCAGGTGAAGCGCTCTTGTTCGGCCTCGACTCGATCGGAATCCCATACATCAAGGAAGCCGGCGGCATCTTTGCCTTTTACGGGTCCGGCTGCTTGATCTGCTTCTGGTTGGGCTGGTATCACATCGAGGACACCATGTATTTCAAGGAGGACCATGTTGTCGTGCCCAACCACATCATCCACGAAATCGTGGACAATTCGCACGAACTTCCGGTCCCCGTTGACGAACAAGGCATGGTCGTGCTTGGGATCGAGCCCACTGCGCACAACCCAGAGAAGGGTCAAGACGAGAAGATGGCGGTCACGTCGGTGCAGGGGGACAATGAGGCTGGGCTTGAGTGAATCGTCCCAAACCCTTGCATACACAACAATGGCGAAGAAGAGAAGATTCAGGTTGGATGAGTGGTCAGACGTGATGAGACGGTGAGGGGAGCATCTTAGATGTGTGTTATCGTTGGCAGTGCAATGGTGGGAGAGTCTGAACATGCCGTGAACGGACTGCTCTCGAGGGTTCGCTCCTTTTCTGCTTGTCTTTTTCCAGTCGAACAACAGGTTACAATATGGGTAGATAGGTAGATAGGTAGACAACGTTGGTAATTAGCGACTCCGACTCCGACTTCCACTCAGTGGGAGTCGAGAGTCGACTCCACTCCCGACCCCCTTGGCGACTCCCTATTCGCTTACTACATAAGGTAGATGGACCCGAGATATCCGGAGTCGGATTAACCCTATTCCGGACATACCACTGCTTACTAAGACTCTCTTATCTCTTCTATTAATTATAGTCTACTATAATAGACCCACCCTAGGAGTCGACTCCACTAGGGGTAGGAGTCCCAACTCCCAACGCTGTAGCTAGACAAAATGGTGGGATGTTCACCCATGAAGCTGGATCTAAAGTTGCTGCTACCTGGGAGCAATGGTCAATTCACATCTAATTCGGTATCCGTGACCGGAAGAATAAATAGCCCAGATAGAGTATGCAGAGCAGTGCAATGCATTGCGCACCGATGGAACCCGTCCTTCCCTATCCCGCGGGCAAGTCTCAAGCCTTCCGCTCCTCAGCCATGGTTCCACCTCGATCTTACCGTAGGCAAGTCCTTGCTTGGGTACTTAAGATCCCAGAAGTAGAGCACGTCCCCGTCCATTGATCAGAGACCACCGGGGAGCAACGATTTGAATCTTGACCTTGATGAGACCTGAACTGAATAGAACTGAACCATCAAACAAACCTTGAGACGAGCTGCCACCATGCCCAAGTTTACCTCATTCACTTCCGTTTTCCACACGGGGCCGTATCCGGCGATCGACCCAACCGACGAGAGATTGTCAGCCCGGGGAAAGACCGTCCTCATCTCCGGCGGTGGCTCTGGCGTGGGCAAAGTGATCGCGCTGGCCTTTGCCCAAGCCCAGGCCGCGAACATCATCATATTCTGCCGGACCATGTCGACGTTGACCAAGGCCAAGGCGAGCATCGAGGAGGCTGCGCCGGACAGTCCCTCGAAAATCCACGTCTTCGAGGCCGACATGACCCGGCCATCCGACCTCCAAAAGATGTTTTCCAGCATCAAGAGCACGATCGGGCCCGTGGACGTGCTGGTCAACAGCGCCGCTCATCTAGCCGACAAGGCTCGGGTGTTCGAGGGCGACATAGACGACTGGTGGCTGAGCTTCCAGATCAACGTCAATGGGAGCTACTTGTTGACCCGGGCTTTCATCCAGGCACTGCCCCCCAGCGGCGAGGGTGTTTTGTTGAACCTGACGTCCGTGTGCGGCCACGGTGGGAGCATGATGGGCTTCTCCTCGTACAATGCTTCCAAGGCGGCCTTTACCCGCGTCCTCGAGACCCTGCACCACGAAATGCCAAAGCTGAGAGTGATGAGCATCCATCCCGGCGTCTACGATAGCGTCATGAGGAGGAGATCCGGGAACGATGGAGGCCCATTTGACGACGGTATGTTTGCTTGGCCCATTCAGTGTCCACCCCTTCTTGCCCCGTCTTTCCCTCTCAATGGGCGCATGTCAGAATGAAATAAAGTACTGAGTACTGACCATCATCTAGAACCGTTGGCAGGGCACTTCGCCGTCTGGGCAGCTAGTCCAGAAGCCGACTTCCTCGCTGGCAGGACAGTCTGGGCCAATTGGGACGTGGATGAATTGAAGGCGAGGAGAGAGGAAATCCTGTCCAAGGACAAGCTCGTTTTTACTCTGGAGGGATTTCCCAACATGGATCTCAACAACTTGTAGGGGTTGGGTTGTTTCCAGCCCAGGAGGAAGTATATTATATACGCGGTTCGAGCACATAGAAGTCAATTGAGAGGACAGTATGTCTTTGAAGCTCTAGCATCGTTCTGTCAGAATATGGATTGCAACCGCTATAGCCTTGTTGTGACAAAATCCGGCATTGAATACCTTATTTATTTTGACACATTCAGTTCCGGTGAGCATGTTGCTCTTCCTTCTATCTATCTGCACTTTGGACTTGAATCGTCAACGCTGCCTCTCCTGAGCAGCAGGCACTGCCAGTTGTCCCTTCTGGTAGGGAAACTTCGCACGGAAATGCTCGGCGATCTGCGTTCGGGTGGCCACCCAGACGCCCTCCTTTGCAGCCACATATTCGACGAACTTGATCAAGGCACCCATGCGACCGGGCTTGCCGATACAGCGACAATGAAGCCCGACGGTCATCATCTTGCCACCGAGCCCCTGGCTGGCCTCGTCGTACAGCACGTCAAACGCATTCTTGACATGTTCGTAGAAGTCGCTAGGCCCACTGAACCCGGTCGGGGTGGTGAACTTGTAGTCTGCAGACAAAAAGAGGTCAGAATCTATTGGTGATCCAATATCACGGAGAGAGACCAACCGTTGCAATCGTACGAATACGGGATCATGAGCATTCCCTCGGGATTGGGACTGTCGGCCTCGGCGGGGACGTCGACCCAGTACGGGACATCGTCCGCGTACGAGTCCGACTCCCAGAGCAGAGGGATTCCCATCTCCTTGTACACATCCCAGATCAGGGCCCGGGACCGTGGGGACAGGCGACCGTAGTACCATCCCGAGGGTGGTTTTCCGCAAATATCACGGATGGTCTCGATCCCTTTCTTGATGTACGCCTTTTCATCCTCGCGCGAGACGTTGTGGTAATCGATCCATCTGCGGGTGCTCGTCAATTTCCCAGCCCATGTCATGGAGGAATCATATTCAGGCCCGGGATCACCGCTTGAACTTACCGGTACGCATGAGACGCCACGTCATGACCATTTGCAACCGACGATAGGGCCACTTCGGGGTTTTCTTCGATTGCCCGGCCGACCGCATACAGGGTGTATTTCATGCCGTACTTGTTGAAGAGGCGGAACAGACGCCAGACACCGACGCGGGAGCCGTACTCATACTCGGACTCGATGTTGACCGCCCGTTCACCCGTGTGCGGAGGCTTGCCGACGCCCTGGGACCATGTCAACCACTCCTCATTTGAGAAGGCGTGTTGTGTTGCCCCCCGACCAGTCACTCACCTCCCAGAGAGAATTCTCGGACGTTTCATCTCCCAGCAGTACCGACCTTTCAGCGCCCTGTGTAGACTCGTCAGCCGAATAGCAGCAAGAGCAGAGCAATCATGCGGCCACCGACCTCTTCGTAGTTGATCACAAACGATATGGCAACCTTTGCACCGTTGGGCCATTGCGGGTCAAAGGATTTCGGCCCGTAGCCTTTGAAGTCGCGAGGGAAGTCGTCGTGGTTGTTCCACGTGAATGTCTTTGTCCCGGACATCTCGCCACAGAAATAGATGAGGTCTCCTTAGTAGAGGAAAAGAAGAATGCGTTGATGGGATGTGATCTAGAGCAGCATGTTGGGAGGGCAAGTATATAGCGACTCGCCTAACAAGAGATGGCGAATCCATCTCATCCCGAGCCTGGCATGCCACAGAGAGCACACGATGGCCGATGGCCCCGGGGCCCTCAAGGCTTGCTTCTTCAGTTCGTAACGGGTGTAGTAGGTAGCTCTGCAAGTGTTCACCCAGGGTTCGGTGGGAACCTTGCTGCTATCGGTGGAACTTCCCGTGGGTCCGGTCGACGTTCGGAGTTGTCAGTTGGTTGTCCTTGGAGCTGCCCGTGCCCGTGCCCGTGCCTGTGCCCGCGGACAAAAGTGAACGTACCGGTACGACAGATTGGATCTGCCAGCACGAGTGGTCCGAGCTGGGGGTCTTCCCAGGGAAGATAGACGGTCGAACACAGTCAGTCAGTCAGTCAGTCAGTCTTCCAGGGCTGCTGGAGGCACAGGAGAGGCAGCATGATGCCGACCTCAGATGAGAAAAACACAGACCGTCCTCGATCAACAACATCCCTTGCACTTGCAGAAGGTCAGGACTCAGCCTGGCCAGTTCTCTCAGACTCAACCCTCCAACATGTCGGTGTTTTTCACCGCAGTGTCCGAGTAAGATCCCTGTCCCTGTCCCCGTCCCAGCCCAGGCATCAAATCACTGGTAACTGAGCCGTTGACCGTCTTCCAGGTCCAACCCGGTCACCAGCACCGATGTTGAAACACATTTGGCAAACTAGGGTTCCAAACCTCGCCAGCCCAAGAGGCCGACATCACCAAGATGCATCAGGCCTTCTACGAGTGCATCTAGATCGTGCACGAGTTGCCGGACTATCAACCGGTGGTCGACTACGAGAGGTACCCTCGTACCAATGTCAGACATTGTGGTGTTGAGGACAATGTGCTGGGCTATGCATGGTCATATACCTTCTCCCTCAAAGACCAGTGGCAGCACGGTCGCGGCAGTCTGCTCCGTGGTAAGACCGGAACGTCTCGGGGCACCATATAGGGAACTATCAGGTTCGCGGAGCTGGGAGCGGCGTGCGTCGAGCAGGTGTCGGTGCCTTCCCACCCGAAGAGCAATGCCATCTGGACGGCGCAGTAACGCTTCTCGGGCTGCCTGTCGCTGGTGGGCTTCAGTCATGCAGTGGTCGCCGAGGGGTTGGCCTCAGCGGCCTGGCCATGACCAAGCTCTCCTGGGATCAGGCCAAGTTCGACCGCTGCTTTCCGACGACGCAGAACACCATCTTGAACGGTCAGTATCTGCTGCATCACTTACCTGACATCTACCCGAAGACGATCAATTTGATCCGGAGACTCTCGGACGAGTACGAGGCCGTGCTACGGGACTACGACGTTGACGTCTTGATCCTCCCCACCACGTCGCTCAACTTCGTGGCCAGGAGGCATGGGACTAGGACGGGCTTGTCCATGGAACAGATCGCGCCGACCGTCGGCCTGAGGGCCAACACGGTCCAATTCAATGCCACCGGTCATCCGGCAATGTCGATCCCTATCGGCAAGGCTCCGGCCGAGGAAGATAACAGCGTCATGTTGCCCGTGGGCATGCAGATCGTGGGTGCCCTGTGGCATGACGACAAAGTGCTGAGGGTAGGGCATGCCTGGCAGAGGGCGTTTGATTGGAAATAAACTCTAGAGACTTTACCTCCACCACGTCCGTATCGTGACCATCAAAACAAGAGACATGGAAAAGTAAAGATCAGATGTTGCTTTGGTACGACCAACAAATGCTGTGGTCAATGTCATGCGCTTTGATGCGCCTCGCTGATACTAACGTTTGGCCAAACCCGATCCCATGTAAATGTCCTTTGAACACCAATCGCTGACGCTGATGCTGATGCTGATGCTTGTGCCGAATGTCAAGTGCTGTGACATGTCTTCTTTCGTTCCCCCTTGTCCTCTATGTATATTTTCTTCCCCTGTTTCCACTAGCCACTCTTCTTCCGACGACCCTCGTCTCTCCAGCCGGGTCCCCATCTGGTCACCAGCCACAACATGGGACTGGTGACCAGACAGATCAGAGCAATGCACGTAAAGCACCATCCGCTGCCCATGCCGCTGATCATGATGTCAATGATGCCCGTCCCCGCGGCGCCCAGCAGGCACCGGACGAGATTATTCGCAGCCGTGGCCGCCGAGGGGTCTGTGGGATGCAGGTCGACGAGCAAGGTTCCCAGAACGTTGAATGATCCGGTGACGCACAGGCCGATGATGAATTGCAGGACCAGAGGAGCGGCGACGCTTGCGTTCCATTCCAGGGTCCAGCCGTAGCAGCAGATGGCCGCGATCCCGATGTATAGGATCGGCCAGATCACCTGAATTCTCGCCCGTTCAATGGGGAATCGTCCCAGGTCCGCTCCCTTGGAGCCATCCCAGGCCGTCTCGGGCTTTCTGCCTATTCGGAGGAAGTTCCAATCCATTACTCTGCCACCAGCTATACAACCAATGGCACATCCTACTCCATAAGGGCTGAATTGGGAGTTTCAAATCAGCATAGCATACCACTGGCAGAGATGCAAGGTCAAACGAAAAGAAAACTTACAGGTAGCAAAGTCCGACCTGGAGCGCGCTGTAGCCATAAATCCTGGTAAAGAGCGTCGGTGTGCTGGCGGCCACATCGTAAAAAGCCGTGTAAATGATGGCATTGTAGGCCAGGATCACGCCGGTCTCCTTTTCTCCTAACATGGCGAATGTGTGCAGGGGATTCGGCCAACGAAAGCTGGGTTTCAACGATCCTGCTGTGGCTGCTGTTGTCCTGGGTGCGTTGAAGGAGTGGCTGATCAGGGGCTTATGCCATCCCGTCGGTGCGAGCGATCCATTCCCAACCACATTGCGACTGGTTTCAGGAAAGAAGGCCAGGAAGGTGATCATGAAGACACCACCAAACACGACCAGAAACCAAAACAAGGTCCTCCAACCTGACAGGCCAATCACCAGGCCTCCAATGAGGGGACCTAATGAAGGTCCGATCATGGCCCCAGATTGAAAGACGCCCATGTAAATGCCCCGTTCCGAACTGACCGAGATGTCGGCCACGACTCCATTGCCCAACGCGATCGCACCGCTGCAACCCGCGCTTTGAAGGCATCGGAGCACCAACAGGGCCGCGTAGCTGTCCTGAAGGGCGAGGCCAATGTTGGCTCCGAGGTATATGGTAAATGCCAGAATGTATGCCGGTCGCCGACCGGCCGTATCGCCCAATCCACCGAAGATGGTAGGCGATAGGCCCTGGAAAATCATGTAGGAGGTGACGGTGAGATTGATTCGAGTCTGCGAGACTCCCAGGTCCGTCGCCAGGGTCGTGAGGGCCGGGAAATAGATGTTCGCCGTCAGAGGAGATAGAAGACCAGCCCACGTGGCCAAGAAGAGGATCAAAGTCTTCTGGCCTTTGGTGAAGACAGTGTATTCTTGTTGGGCAGCCGTCACATCATCGTCGATGGTTCGTTCTCCTTCTTCCCCTCCTTCGACACCTTGACGACGCGACGGCAATGGCGCCAGTTTGACATTGTCCGCTGCCACCACCACAGCCGTCTCCTGCTTGAGCTGTATGTCGGCACACGGTTGCTTAATCGCAGATTCCATCGCCGCTGTCCGTAATGTACAGAGCTGAGATCCATGCCGAATTAAGTACCTGATACTCGGTTGCTGCTCGAGTCCGAAGTGCCCCGATGAAGGTTGGACCAGCCGAGGTTGCTTCAATGTGCTCTTCGGAGAAAGGACTGACAAAACATGGCTGAGTTCGCAATGCTCAAACATGATTCATGGGCAAGCTTGTCGCTGCACTCACAAACAAGGCTCTCTGGGTCTTGTCACGCGTTGAAGCTTCAGGGTAGTGAGTAAGTGTTGGCGTATTACCCACGGGCATCGCACAGCCATTCAATTGACCGCGGGCAACTATTGAACGTCCGGAAGATTTTGCTCCGATCGGCGAGGCTGTCGCCGGAGCTGTGGCCCCCATAGGTAATATCTCCTCCGAAGTATAGTAGCCAGTGCACTGTTCGGTTTGGTCCTTTCATCTCGCACCGAATGCTCATCTCCCTGGTCTTCGTCGGCGTCGTAGTTGCTCGTACTTTGCTTTGGACTCTTTCTCCTCTTTGTTCAGGTTCAGGACCCGGTCCTGGGCATCATGAGCGTGCTTGAAGCTGGCAGTGGCAGTCGATACCCTCTTTGTCCGTCTTCCAAATTTTACCATCCTTCCGTATAGAGTGGCTAGACCAATGGGTTCTGTGGAGGCTCAGCAATATCCGTGGTATTGTGCCCTTGAAATGGAGTCAGCAGATGAAACCATGAAGATCTGGGGGTCGGCACCTGCCTGTATGCTTGTGGTTCCGCCCCACGTAGGTCCAGCACGGAAGCGTCTACCGGATCCCTTCTTAGGCGAGGTGGTGGACTCCAGTAGGGACAGTGTCCTCACGGGTCGTCAAGGGGTCGAACATCAGTGAGATGGCAGATATCAAACAGTTATACACCGGTGGATGAGCTGCATAGCGCTTCTCCAAACCATTGCTAAGCTGGGGAATTTTGAAGCTGTCTGGTCTGCTCGTGAGTTGTCGCTATCAAAGGGTTTGGAAAGTACCATTGAAAGTCACGGTGGTGACAGACAATATGCGGAATCTTTGCAGCCGTCATGCGGGTTGCCCATGATCTCATTCGGGGCCGGACTTGGGAGCGGCAAGGCCCCCTAGCCTGTTCTGGTTGGCCTGAGCCCTAGGTTTGGGGCTTAATTGGTTCATCAGGCTGTCCGACTGGCTAAACGTCGCCCAGTCGAGAGCACTCCCAGGCTCGAGGCCTAAGGTAGGGTTCCCTTGATTTGTAGCTATTTGAGGAACCTGGGGAACCCTGGGGAACCCTGGGTTCCCTTCAGCCTCAGGCCGGCGTGGTGCAAGGTCTGTTACCTACCTAGATATCCTACCAGGTTGTCGCAGGTATTAATCCTAAGTAAAAACTACATCCTGCGCATCCTATGGCCGAGAACAAGGCTGGACGGTAGAATTGAAGTTCTTGCTCCTGCTCTACTATTTGAGAAGATTGGCTGTTGGGGCCAGACCTGTTCTTCCCGGCTCACCCTAACAGGTCTGCGTTACACAACCTGATGCAATCCTGCCTTTCTGGCCAGGCCTCCTGTCACCATCAGCCGGTGCAGGCTCTTTGTCCGGATCTGGTGTTGACTTCTCATTCCTGTCCTCAGCTCGTGTGCCCGTAGCAAGCAACTTCAAGGCACCAGCGACTTTGATATTGACAGCCCTACTCTTCGGGAGTGGATCACTGATACTGCCAAACCAGCCGTTAGAGATGGTTGTCCATTATTGTGGATGATAGTGGCCTCAGGTCGGTCGGTAGGTCGGTCGGTCGGTCGGTCGGTCGGCGCTGCTGAGCACCCACTCCCCAGTTCAAGTTCGGGGCGACCTGAGTGCTAGGGTTGGCGTGGATGCCCGCCCGCACATCCACTCCTCAGGCTTCGTCCGGGGCTATAAACCTCGGTGCGCCTAGGAGGCCCTAGCCTCATTAGCCTCTGCCAGCCTTTGTAGCCTCAGGCGCTTCGATCTTGGCAACCCTCAAGCTCACGGTGCTGCGTTTCGCAACATCTGCTCTGTAAAGTTCGATCGTGCTCGGCCGACAAAAGCCCATTCTTCCAGGCTTTTCATACCGGAGCGTCGAATAATTCAGGTTTCATGTTGATCTTGCACAGTTTCGCCAGACAGCCGCTCAGTTGCAGGAACGATTGTACTCCCTCGAGAATGCGCATATGGGTGAAGCCGATTTCCTTGATGAATTCAAGTTTCGAGTGTTCCGAAAGCGTCGGAATCGTCTTGGTCACCCGGAACATGGTGCTTATGATGTCGTGTGACGAATAACCCAGATCCCTTGTACAAAGGCCCAACATGTCAGTGTCTGACGCGTCCCATGTTCATGTCACAAGCAATGTGTCCGACTTACCACAACTCCTTCAACGTATCGATTGCACTGTCAATCTTGCCCTCCCAGCATGCCTTGATCATTGCTTGAACTTTGACTGGGTGCGGGCTGTCCACCACGCGAAAGACGTTGTCCCCACTGACAAATCCGAAGCCTGCCCAGGTACTTTGCAAGTTGTTGATGGCCTGTCTCATGTCTCCCTCGGCACTGAACACCAAAGCCGCCAGGCCATCCTCGGAATATTCGATCTTTTCCGCCTCGGTGATCTGCAGCAGTCGTTGCACCACTTGCGCGTCCGTCAGCCGCGAATATCGAAGGATTGCACATCTGGACTGAAGCGGCTCGATGATTTTGTTGGACTGGTTGCAAGCGAAAGCGAAGCGAGTCGTGTTCGAGTATATCTCCATCGTCCTCCTCAAAGCCTGTTGGGCGCCAGAGGTCATGCTGAAGAAAGTCCCTTGTTAGTCTTGCGTACACCTCTCACGTTAGCATTTCGTTGGCTGTACCTGTCTGCTTCGTCTAGGATCACCAATTTGTGCCGCCCCGGCGGCAGCGTCACCTTCTTTTGCGCGAAGCCTTTGATACGATTCCGGACAACATCTATACCTCTTTCATCACTGGCGTTCAGCTCCAAAACAGCTTCTTTATATGCGTCGCCCAGAAGAGTCCTCGCTAGACAAAGTACTGAGGTTGTCTTGCCAATTCCGGGCATTCCTGAGATAATGACATGCGGCATATTCCCATCTTTTGCAATGATCTTGAGTCGTTCAATCGTTTCCGTGTTACCCACAACGTCGTCCAGGTAGACTGGCCGGTACTTTTCCACCCTGTCATGCATCAGCCTGTTTGGTCTTGCCCAAGTATACCAATTCAAGAATTACCAGGGCAATTCATATTCGGGTGCTGCGCCATTTGTATTTGCGTTAAGAGCTTTGCGGCCTCCCGCCGATGAAGACTCCGGTTGTCCTGACATTGAAACGATGCTTATGATGGATTGTTTGGGGTGAATTCAACGCTGTGAAATCTGTTGGTGTGTCGGGGTTCGAGTTCATGTTGACCAGAGAAGCGCAGGCACAGGCGCGTCACTGCCACTAGTAACACGTACTAATCTTCACGCGTAAAGTGATTTCTTGGCACAGCGAGGAACTTGAACAGCCTACTATTTTTGCCAGCACTACAGCTATACAGTACCTACTCTACAACCATCCATCCTGTCACAGCGAGACAATGCCATGGACAGTGAGAGTCACATAGAACTGAGTGTCAGTGGAGTAGCTCTGGCTTTCATGAAGCTGTTTCTTGTCCAGAAGGACTTCCAGCTGCAGCCGTGAGACCGATCACAGACTCTGACGCGCCGAGGGCAAATTGCAATGTTCAGGCAATGCATACCAGTATTGGGCCTTGGCTTCCTGCTGAAGAAAGAGACAGAGATGTGTACCAATCCAAGTGATTGAGAGAAACACCTATGACGCCTTCTCCTCTATGGAATGGTCGAAACAAATACATTCCCGTCGCTCACCAGCGACACTCAAAAGGGCTCGCAGTAAGAATACTGGAGGCACCTGTGATGGAGCAGGACTATTTGCCGGCCCCAGATGCGTGAGAGTTTCTTCTACGCTGGACATGATGCTCTGTCGGCCAATGCATACGCCGCACCGACCCACGTGTCGCCCGTTATTGACTGCGAATGCTAGGCAATGCCTGGTGGTGTTTGACGGCCGAGATGAAGAGCGCGGCGTCTCAAACCGAGACGAGACTGAAGATGCGGAAGCGGTTTCATCGGGTATGTCCCTCGTTTACAACGATCTAAGGTAGCACAGGAACACATCGCTATTCCCTGTGCCAATTTTGACACATACAAGCCCCCTACTTCTGATCCGACCAAACTCATTGCTCTATGTTTTGCTCTATGCATTATTTCGCTGGACGCCCGACAAATATACATGTTCACTAGCGCCATTCTCGTCAATTCTGCTGGTATTTCGGAATCTCATCCTCCTTTTCCCACCGATACTTGCTGCCCGGATGATCACTCAGGAGTCGTGATGTGCCGAAGAACTGTTCTCGTGCCGTGGCGCCCTCTTTGTCTACCCCTTGGCGGAAGATGCCTCGTTTCCTCAGCTCTGGCAATAGGAACTCGATCATATCCTCAAACGACCCTGGGTTTGTGATGTGAGATAGATTGAATCCATCCACGTCGGCGATCTCCACCCAGCGTTCCAGCTCGTCGGCAACTGTGGTAGGCGAGCCCACAATCTTCGGGTGCATGCCACCCAACAAAAGATAGTCCGCGATACGGGCCTTGTTCCATTTGAGATTCTCACTTCCCGGCACTGTATCCGCCCAGCCATTGACGATGGATTGCATCACCGGCATATTGACAAACCGGAAGTCCTCGTCATCCGAATAGGTTGAGAGATCGATGCCGGTCCAGCCGCCGAAGAGCGCTAGAGCACCCTCTCTGTCCCCGTACGAGAGATACTCCTCGTGCTTCGCTCTGGCTGCCTCGTCGGTCTCGGCGATGATGACACTTATACCCGCGATGATTTTGACATGGTAAGGGTCGCGGCCTGCCTCCTTTGCTAGTTGTCGAATGGCGTCGACAGAAGGACGTAACTTCTCGGGTAGCTGTGCCGCTGCAAAGATCACTTCTGCATGTTTTGCACCAAACTGTCGGCCTGATTTGGAGGTACCGGCCTGGAACAAAAACGGGGTGCGCTGCGGAGAGGGTTCACAGATATGAGGCCCCGGTACGTTGAAGTGCTTGCCTTGATGGTTGATCTGTCGAACGCGTTCGGGCACAGCATAGGTACCGGTCTCTCTGTCCTCGACCACGGCGTCGTCACGCCAGCTGCCCTCCCAAAGCTTGTACAGCACTTCCATGTACTCCTCGGCCAAGTCATAGCGACTGTCGTGCTCGACCTGCTTACTAAGGCCGAAATTGCGAGCGGCGCTGTCCAGGTAGGAAGTGACAATGTTCCACGCCACCCGACCATTGCTGAGATGGTCAACCGTGGAGAACCGCCTGGCCAGCGAGTATGGCTGCTCATAAGTGGTACTTGCTGTAACGCCGAAGGTGATGTTTTTGGTCACGGCGGCCATTGCAGGAACCAAGTACAACGGATCATTGACCGGGAACTGAGCACCCGCGTGCAGTGCCGGGCCTGTATTGGCCGGTCCTTTGTAGACTAGTGATATTCTGTGAGCAACGACATCGACAAGGGGCCCATGGAATATGGGAAGGGGGAGCCGTGAGCAACCAAAAATCCCATGTCTCGGGTGGCCCAGACAAGGCTGCAGGACCTACCATCGTAGCAACCGAGGACGTCGGCCAGGAACAGAGCGTGGAAGCCCGCCCTGTCCAACAGCTGTGCAAGGTCTGTCCAGAACTCGAGCTTCTTGTAGTTGTTTGTCTGGTTTCGAGGATGCCGCCACAGCCCTGGAGACAAATGACCGGGCGTGTTCATGGCAAAGGCATTTAGTATGAGCTGCTTCTTCTCCTTCGGCGGCCGGTTTCCCGCCAAGCCAGCGGTCTTGGCGGCTTCGGACGACAAGGACCCCATTTTGAGGAGGTAGAGGAAATCAGCTATCACCACCGATGTATAGGACAACTACTACCCGCTCTGGATTCGAGGGATTCACAAGCTATACTAGTAGCAGATGTGAGAGAGGTAATGACCGCTCAGGATACTGTCCGAAGTTGTTACGCTCAGCATGTCTGTCGCCCTACTCGTGGATCGCGTCTATCACGCCATTGGATCGAAGAGCACGCAATGAGCCCAGCATCGCTATGCCTCTCCTCATTGTCTGCCCATCTCACTGCGGGCCCTGCGCTACGGCGTATAGCGATGCTGTTCGCTCTTGGACTGCAGCAGATCTGAAAACATCTTCCACATGGGGTTACAGTTCGTTCGAGTCATGAATGCACAGTGCGAGTAGTAGTCCACAATTTAGTAAGTTGTTGCACCCTATCGAACTCTCATGTTCGAAGATCCACCATTTCGGTAAGGTCTCTGATGCAATTTCAACCTTCGAGCACACCATAGATAACGGTCCCAAAACTGCTTGGATCTGCCATTTGACAGAGGGTCACAGACTACTTGGCCTAAACAAAGACAGCGGACAGCAAAACACAATGCAGTTGTTGTCATTACAAGACAAAAATCCTGGAGAGAGCCGGGTTGGCAGCACGACATCTGCCCTCTTCCGATGTTACGCATCCCCCTTCGTTAGCGAGGCGAGGTACCTTGTTGATCTAGGGCCTTTACCATCCTCTCCAGCATCTTTCAAATCTTGCTTTTGAGCCTGATATATACTGCTTTTATATCGGTCATGGGCGTGCTGCATTATTTCAATGTCGTAGGGAGCTCGCCTCCTTCGAAGGACAGCGCTGTCCAGGTTATTTACCAAGATACCGAAAAGGTTTCCTCCAGGCCGTCCAAGGTTACCCCTCACCAACGCGCACTGTTGCTTCGTGGTCCAAGGGAGCCGTATGTCGAAGTCTCGGATCATCCAACCCCTTCACTTGATGGGAATCGCGAGTTTCTGGTTCGGAATTTGGTTATTGGCTTGAATCCCATCGATTGGAAAGCACCGTAAGCAGCATGCCCCTTTGCCCTGAAAAAACATCAATTCTAACCACGGATGCTTACGCCACTTAGAGATTTCAACTTTGGTATTCCTGAATTACCCTATATCTCAGGTCGGGAGTTGGTGGGAGAAGTCGCTATCAGTCCGAAGCGAAGGTCGCGCTTCAAGCCTGGTGACAAGGCCATTGTCATCTCAACAGATTACAGAGATCTTCGCAAAGCCGCTTACCAAGAATATGTTGTCGCCACAGACTTCAACGCGGCTCGCCTTCCTCCTAGCGTCTCGCCTGAAGCCGGGTCTGCCCTGGGCGTTGCTTTCGTAGCGGCAGCTCTTTGTTTGGGAGTTTGTGCAGGGCTTGACTTTTCAACCATTGCGGACGGACCTGATTTGCTGTCAATGGTGAGACAGATTGATCCCTCGCGTTTGCCAGAGGACGTCAGAGATGAATGTCTACACGGAATAGACAAGGAATCGCGGATCCAGAAAGGGGACTGGCTTGCCATCTGGGGAGGTTCGTCGACCAGCGCTTTCATGCTCAATCAGATAGCCCGACTTGCTGGGCTGAGGACCATCAGCGTTGTCGATGTTCGGAAACATGCTGTCAAAATGGCGACGAACAACATCACGAGACCAGACATTGTCGTTGACAACCATGATCCTCAGCGCGCCATTGAAATTGTCCGATCGGCTACGGGCAAGCGACTTCGGTTTGCCATCGATACCGTGGGACGGGAAACAGCGGGACATTTGCTAGAATGTCTACAGCAGCATTATGCAACTGAGGACGAGCCTGATGTATCAACGGCCACACCTGAATCCGCGCATCTTATCGGCCTGACAGGTCTCCCGAAGAGCTCACCTCCAGCAAACGTCTCGTTCCACAACATGCCGATTAAATTGTTCCATGAGGTACCCGAGCTGGGCGAGGCCCTGATGTTATGGTTAGAGCGGTTACTGTCTAGAGGACTCTTGGTGCCGCCCAGCATATTGGGTGTTTCGGAAGGGTTTGGCGCCGTGAATCAGGCATTGGACAGCATGAGACGAGGCGAGGTGAGTGGAGGCAGGGTGGTGGTCAGAATTCCTTGAGACGTGGATAGATATTTACTGCATTTGGCATGGGTCAATGGGATGATATAGAACAGCAAAAATAGACCGGGCAATATCGAGTCTCGGGCATTCTCCTGATGTCGACCTTTCCTTTGTATCTGAACCTGAGAGCCAGCCTTGTCACGTGACCACCACGTGACCACCACGTGACTTGCCCGTTTGGTGCTCGAATTTCAAGCCCAGCCTCGACGACTGTCCAGATTTCGTAGCAACCATCAACTGTTTTGAGGATGTCGACGACGTCAATATATTACATCTAGACGGGAGATCATCTGGTCGTAAGATAGGGTTTGCATGTTCGATCTCTACTGGGATCCTGTCAGATCGACGAGGTTATCTTCCACGTTCAATCAGCTCCATCTGGCCCTTGTGCGCAGACTGCCAAGTTGCCCTTCCTAACCTTGGCCTGTGCTGATGAAGGATTTGATATCCTCACATCAATACCAGCATGGCGGTATCATGCTAGATTGGCACCCCGAACATGTCCATTGCCAGTGGCTAATCAGTTGTGTTGGCCTGAGCCTGAGCCCACTCACGTGGAGGGCCCGGTATACGGGGTGAGTGCTGAAAATCCCCGTTCAAAGATAGCATACTCGAACCAGGTCCGATTCATCCACCCAGGGCAACATGCAGTGTTTCCCATGAATCCTGACAACACCGCTGCTCTTAGCACGGTCTCCATGCGCGGCGACCAGAGAGGAATTCTCCGGCAACGAAGCGCTCTCTCCCTCGCCGTGTGAGTCTGTGACAGATAACAACGGATATGTACTGGACGCCGGACGGCCTTCCCACCCCACACTTTTGGCAGCTTGGGTCTCTCCTCCTTGTATGGCATCATTTGAGACGTGCGCTAGCGTCCTTGGACGTTTGCAAGCCTACAGAGGATTTCCAGGTGAGTCGAATGGTGCCATCGTTATCGTTACGCATGTTTTGTAATGACGCGTTTTCGTCGTTATTTGGGATGCTCCCCCGAATGAATCCTTCTGCACTGGCTGGAGTCCCCGAGCACGCCATCTGAACGATGCGCTGGTCCCTGGCTTGCCTTTTTCGACATCCAGTCTAACAGCTGGGTCAATGTCGACCAAGCTCCATAGCCAGTTGCTTATCCTTTTGAAGATCAAGTCACATCGACGAGACGGAAAGGGGCGCGCACGCCAATTTTTTCAATGATGCCGGATTGCGTCTTGTTGACCAGTGCTTGTTGGCGCTCTGCCCAGAAGTTAATAATGACCCAGAGACCTGGGGAGGCGTTCGATCAAGGCCCAGGAACCGGGAACGCTCCCCTTGTTCTACACGAGATCTTGCATAAGACCGTGGACTGCCGCACCAACGAGACCAATAATCCTGTCTAGTTCGAGGCCGAGTTCCGTTTTCCCAGACAGACAGGTGTCGCTGGTCCTGTTTTCATTTCTATCTTGGACATCCAGCAACTTGAAGTTCACTCTACCGGCCATGGCTATCGAACCCTATTCAGACTCGAAAGCCGAGGAGGGCGGCATCACTGCGGAACAGAAAGCGATACGATCCTCCTCCTCCTCGTTGACGGACAGGGAAGCATTCCTCTCGTCGTTCACCGCCGAAGATGACCGAAGAATCATGCGCAAAGTCGACAAGCGATTCCTCCTGCTTATCGGCATGATGTACATCCTCAAGAACATCGACTATACCAACGCGGCGACCGTCAAGGTTCTACAAGTCGGTCAACCGCGCAACATCATGGTTGAGTTGAACATGACAGCGGATCAATACAATTGGGTGCAATCCATCTACTTTGTACGTGACACACCCTCCCTTTGGTGGCTTGAATACCCTCACCTCGCGGCCCTGACTGACGATCAACATCAACATCCAGATCTCGTATATCGTGTTCGAAGTTCCTTCCAACCTCATGCTCAAGAGGATGACTCCTCGGATCTGGCAGTCTCGCATCATCGGCTCTTGGGGCATAGTAGGTTTTACCCTGACGAGGAGGATTCCAAAAGTCCTCTTGTGTCGCATGTCATACTAACACTGTTCGCCAACCAGGTCCTTGCCTGCCACGCCGCCGTGCGCAACAAAGAGGGTCTCTACGCCTGTCGATTCTTCCTCGGAATGATGGAAGCGGGAATGTTCCCAGGCTTGGCAGCTCAACTGGCTGGCTGGTAGGCGTCCCTCCCGTCTATGCTCCCCTCCCATCCTGTCCCTCGTCCAACACATGTTGACTAGAGACTGATTGGCCTGTCGTCCAGGTACCGAAGCGACGAGATGGGAAAGCCGATCATGTGGATGTTTGGATTCCAGAACTGCTCCGGTGTCATCGGTTCTATAATCGCATATGGCATCTCGTATATGAACGGCATGTGTGGCATGAGCGCCTGGCAATGGTAAGTCGTGACAGTGCTTCTCATTTATTTCCCCAGTTCAGACAACTGACATGACGCTCTCGATTTCGTTCGAAATAGGGTCTATCTGCTCGAAGGGATCTACACCATTTTATTCTCCGTCGTCGTGTTTTTCGTGCTACCGGACTATCCCAAATCGCCGCGATCCTCGAAGTGGCTCACGCCGCGCGAACAAGAATACCTTGAACTCCGACTCACCGAGAACGCCCCTCGCACCGACGACCCGGCGTTCAAGAAATCCGAAGTCCTGGACTCGCTGAAGGACCCTCGAACTTATGCCTTCTGTCTGTCGCAGATCCTCATGAACCTGGGCGGATATGGTCTACAATGGCAACTCCCGACCGTCACCACCAACTTGGGCTTCGCCGGTCTTCCGCGAAACCAATTGCTGAACATCCCCCCCGCGGCGGCCAGCGTGCTCTCCATCATCTTCGCCGGTTGGTTCCTGTCAAGAGCGTACCTGACCCGACCCGAGTTCGCCATGTTCATCTGCGCCGGAGCGTTTGCGTTTTTCCTGGTCTTGTGCTTCGACGTGCCCCGCACCGCCACCTATATCGCATGTATCTTCGGGACTATGTTCTACTCTGTCTATTTCATTCCATTCTGGGCTTGTAAGTTTGGATCTCGTCCCCCTCCCCAGCATGATTTTGCTCGAACCATCCTCCGAAAAGAAGAACCGAAACAAAAACAACATTCGGTAGCATTTTCCCAATGTCGACATCCATTAACATTTTTCATTTCTTCAGGGCGTTCCGCAAGTCTCAAAGGCTCCACCGGCGCGGCATTCACCCTTGCTTTCCAATCCTGCATCGGCCAGGTCGGCGGCGTCGTCGGCCCGCAGCTGTTCCAGTCGAAATACGCCCACAACGGCTACAAAACCTCCTTCGCCATCTGCGCGGGCACCATCGGCGCCAGCTGGCTCGCCAACTGCTGGACCTGGTATCTGACCCGGAAGAACGAGAATGATATTCAAAAGGTGCGGAAGTTGAGGATCAAGGCGAACAAGGAGGGAGGAGTCTTTACAGGCGAAGATGTGAAGTTGTGAAGTTGTGAAGTTGTGAAGTTGTGAAGTTGTGAAGTTGTGACGCTGGAATTGAGAGGCAGAGAGAAGAGAGGGAGACAGAGAGAGAAACGAATTGTCGAAAAGAAAGGAAACACGACATGATAGATTTCCTTTTATTGATACTGCATCTTTGGTGGGGAGGAATAGAGAAAAATAGAAGAATGGTCTGTTTCATGGGACAGAAACCCCATTGGCCGGACGAAGAGGACGATTAGATTTAGACGAGATGGTTGTCATAGACCTTACCAGCTAATATCAGAGAGAGAGGAGTCGACGACTCGACCTCTGTGATACTGATACTGATACTTGATATTTGATACTTGATACTTGCCTCGGTCAAGTACAAACCATATTGGACCAACCTCATCCACGACAGCGGCACCCCCCTTTTTTCCTTTTCTTTTGAAATTGCCAATTCGAGAGGTTCTCTCTGATCTACAGTTCCTATGGCTTTGAGCAAAAGATAGTTATATCAAAAAGACAGGCTGTGGATGGAGCCGTTCCCCCTATTTAACGATCTGGATAGGTAAGTACCGATGGCGATGGCACTGGCAGTGTTGGACCCACCGGGTCACTTCGCATTTTAGGGACCTTGAAAGGTACAGGTCGATCTTGATATTGATATTGATATTGATAACTTGATAGTCCTATTGAAGAATTCTACAGCTGAAGCTGCCAACGAGTGAGCGTGGAAAGAAATAAGCCGACTGCAGGGGTCTGAAGACGGGGAAGCCCTTCGCAAGATTCAAAGGAGAAGATTGAAAGTGGATGCTTGACATTGTTGAGATGCAAAAAAGGAGGTCGCTCGACGCGTGATCTGACTTGTTCGAAGGTGTCTGGTTTACCCCCTGGGAGAGAATGGAAAGGAAAGAAGAGAAAATGGTCCTATGTGATGACGGGGTGCTATAGTAAGTAGTATCTAACTTTGTATAGGTAGGTAAGGTAGGTATGGAGGACCTTGAACAGCTGAGGTTGTATCCAACGTCGGCGACTCGGCGTCCGCGCGGAAGATACATACAATACAGTGCGGATGTAGAGTTTGAAACTTTGGGGGACGATGCTCTTGAGGCTTGATGGTGGAACATTGACTCTCAATGATGATTCATGACACTGGAAGTGTGGATATGGAGGTAACTTTGCGTTCACCTTCACCCGGGTCGCTTTCATGGAAGGTTCCTGGAAAGTTCCCGCATAGGTCCACGGATCTATCTATCCATCAGGTTTTGCTTGCTGGAAGATGACGCCCCCGGCCCAGAAAAGAGGAAGAGTAAGAGGAAGGCAGTACCTAACTCAAAACCCTGTTGGAGTGTTGGCTTGCAGTGTATCGGGGGCACTGAGTACAGTACAACGGTCGTCGAGTCAAGGGGCCGGACGTTGGACGCTGCTCCATTACAGACAACAACCCTCCCTGCCTTTCACAAACAAGGGCAAAGGGTAGATGGAGCTGTCGGTCCTTCTCAAAGGTCACAAACACCAGAAGCCTCCCGTTCTTTGACCACAACTCTCTCCCACTCTCACTCCCTTACCACAGCCACAAGAGATGACGAATACCCGAAAAAAAGTACCAGCCGAGTAGGATGCAGTCGTTGTACAGATTGCATACCTATTGCCTCCTGCTCCTTCTATACCAACATTGTATGCTGAAGGCAAGAGAGAGAAAAAAAGAAAGCCGAACCCTCATCCACCATTTCCAAAAACAAACAGCACAAGACTTGCTTTTCATTCCAAGGCAGTGTCTCCGAGTCCCATGCTCTCGAGTATCGTAGTCCGTAGTCGTACATCAATCATGCCGCGCAGAACCCATAAACGTGTAGTCATACAGATCGTACATCATGCAGAAAAGGGATCGTCATCAAGCAATAACCCGTGCCGTAACATAATCGAAAAAGTTGCAAACCGTCGAACCATTACCGTGGAGTCGAGTCGTCGCCCGAAATATAAGTGAGGTTGTCACACCCCCTATCTTCTTTTCTTCCTCAGCTTGGTCCAGCTTGAGCCAGGCCCATTTGAGTCGGTGTCTCATTGCGGGACAGAAGATCAAGGCACACAGTAAAGATGTGTGTGATCTGTTCTTCCCAGATGCCCATTTCGTAGTCGACAAGACCATATTGCTCAAGTTGATCACACATTCCAACCAAATCATCCATCAGGCTGGTGATGATGTCGACTGAAAGGATATCGCTGGGTGACCGGGCTGTCCTCAGCGCTTCTTCGGTGATATCCTTCTGCTTCTGCCCAAGCGCCTCCCATGCGAGATTGAACTCCCTCCAAACTTCAAGTCGCTCTGCATGCCTGGCCTCGTCATCGTGATGTAGTCCTGTAATATGAGTCAGTACCCAAGTGTCGCTTGTCTCTACTGTCGCACATACCTAGGGTAGTGACAGAGCTGACTAGCCAGCGAGATACCGCCAACAGTTTCTCGCTGGCTTCCGTAACCCTCCCTGCGATGATGGCATCATAGATGGACCTGAGCTGCTGCTGATACTCCCTAAGACTCTCGTCAAGAGCCGTCTGAGTGACAGCCTGACCGCTCGCTTCTGCGGCATCTTGTTGTTGTTGTTGTTGTTGTTGTTCCAATCCGGAGAAGTCTACCGCCCCGGTGCCGTAGGTTTGTGGCAACGAAGGCCGGGTCACGGCCACCGGTGTATAACCGCTCGCTTCTGCTTGCGATGTCAAATAGTGTGAGGAACCAGTCTGTTCGCTGGAAGGCATATATTGTGGAACCGCAAATTGACTCGCCATCACCTCAATCGCGGTCTGCCGCTGTTGAAACGGGATACTGTCGTAGAGAGATTGAGGCGCAGCCGGGGGAAGCATCGCCCCTGGCGTATATTGGGCATATTGCGACTGTTGCTGTTGTGAGGGTGATGCTTGCACTGGTTGCTGTCTGGAGGGGTCTTGAAGATAGGCTGGTGAATACTGCATTTCGATCCCTTGCATCGGACTACTGCCCTGCATCTGCGAGCTGCCGTACTGCTGCTCCGCATACCCATAACCGGGATATCCAGGGAGATAGGGTCGCGTTATCGGAGACCTGCCAATATCGCTCCTCGCTGGTGTCGACGGTTGCGAATACCTGTCACTGGTGGGCGCCCCAGCCGACTGTCCTGGCAGAGACCGCGACTGCGCCGGCGTCTGGTATGGCTGTCCATATTGCGAACGCCGACGGTCACCGCCGTCCATTTAAGGAAAGCTGATCTCGTCCGTCGACGCCAGTCTGACGAGAACACAGGAATTCCGGGCCCAGAAGGGTCTTGTCTCGGTGTGCCGGACCCGGAGGTACAGACGTCTCTCTTGTTTTCTTGCCTCCTGTCTCTCTTGCCAAACCTGGTCCCCTCATACAGTCGTTCGAGCCGTACACGAAAGAGGATCGGCGTCGTGTCTGTGAGAGAAGCAGCGCTCGTAGTTATTGGGCGAGCCTTGACCCGAGGATGGGCAGTAGGAATATGCAAAGATATCTGGAAGCTCCTCGATTTGGTAGCGCAGAAAGGGAGAAGGGCAGAAAGAGTCTGAATAAGATCTGAAGCTGCCGCCTTCCGTAGCGGACGTGAAATCGTCAGCCTCCGTCGAGGGCCTGGGCCTCGAACCTTCCTCCAACGAGGCCTCGAAGTCGCAAGCGATCGGTGTCTTCAGGCACGGGTCGTCGTGCTAGATGTCCACCCAGCACGCCGTGAATCCCAGCGACCTAGGTCAAGATGCGTCGGCAACTGGTCAAGCCGTCACAAACTCAAAGGAAGCGTTGTCGGAGTTCCCGCAAAAGAAGAAATGCGTCGTCGCAAGGATGGTGGTGGGGTGGGATGTGAGTGGTGAGTGGATGGACCGAGTTTCAATGGAAGTGCTAGCACGACACAAACACAGAAATACCGATGTAAGGACTGCACAAAGGGAAATAAAAGGAGCGTTCGGTGAACAGAGTAGCAGGAGAAGAAGCAGAAGTAGATACCTTTGGGAGTTGTTGAGGGACATGAACGTATACAAAAGGTCTAGAGGTGCAGCTGCGATGGCGGGTGGGAAGTACACACGACACGACAAGACCGGACACTTTGGCCAGCGCGACTCGATGGGGACTGGCGTCAATGAAGCGTAGCAGGAATAGCCATGATCGCTGGTCATCTGGTTCCTGGTACGTCAACAAACGAGACTCGGACTCCTCCAGACGCGGGCGAGTAATGCTTCTAGCAAAGCAAGCAGACAGAGGGCTTGTCTAACCGGCAGGGAAAAGTCTTCTCATGTGGGCAGCGCCACAGGAGGGACAGTGCCCGGGGGGTGAACCCAATAATGTTCTTTCTTCAGTGGTCAGCCTGCCCGTCGAGGGTTTGGGCATGAACTGGCACAGTCAATGATCGTTTGGTCCAAGGAAGGGAAGGGCATCAGAATCAAGCTGTCACTTGCGCATTGGCGCTGGCCAGTCTAACTCTGCCGCTGTGCCCCACGGATCAAGGGTGCTGATGAAGAGGCGAGACTATCTTGCTTTGGTACCGTCGAACGCGAGTGGAACGCGCTTCAACGATGGAGGTTCAATGGTAAAAGCGGGCATCGAGCATCTGAATGGACACGGACATGGCGAGTCTGCCACCATCCCAGTCAATTCGTTGTTCGAGGACCGCTCAGGCACTTTCAGGGCTTGTCGAGGCCTCCTCCCGGTGGTGCTTCGTCGTCGGCAGGCCAGCTGGCTAACCACTGGTCCGACATGGCTTGCATGAGTAGTCTGCCATGGGCAGCATCTGCCGGTGCGCCAGGCGAGATTTAGAGTGTGGCGCCCGAATGTTGGACCAAGCAAGGGCTGAAGGCGATTTCCATCCCAGGTACTGCTAGACCAATCTGGCTTCCCCGTCGGGGCAGACCTAGCGGCTGATGTGCCGGGGATCGGCTGTCTCAAAGCTCAAGTAGTTGACGGAAAGCCCCCAGCGCGCCTAGAAGCCCGCATCGTTCAGTTGGAAGATCGATCCACCTTCAGCTGTGGTGCGGTGCGGTGGTGTAATTATGCACTGTCTCATATGAACTGACGCGGATGGAAAGTTTGATGATTGCTTTGCCAACAATTGGAACTGCGCATTCCGTACATTGTCGAATGTCATCATGTCAGTCAGTGCCTCTGGGACGCATGTGTCGCTGTCTGCAAATGCAAAGTGGCTGCTCTGGCTTGGTCACCAGGGTCTAAGAGACCGACCGGGCAAGACTCCTCCTCCTCCTCATTGTCCCGCCGAACAATCTTACAGAAGCATTGCGCGTCGTGTACGTACTGTTGGAATTTCGACGCCCGCTACTAGTCGAGTCCTAGTAGGCCAGGAAGGTGGTGGCTCCATGTGTTCCCTAACGCCGACCCATACCTGACAGCTGTGCCTGGCGTCTTGAGGCTCTGGCGAGCCGAGCCAGTCGGATGGCAGCGAGTTGCATCGATCCAAAGTCCCAAAGATCTGGCGAGAGAGATGTCAGCTAAAATGGTGGACAACGTGCGCAGTCTTGTCGGACGGCGCTGCTGCGCGAATCCCATGTCTGACCTGTCATCTGGTTCAGCTGCTGATTCTGTCCAGTGTCGGTTTGTCGATGGGCATATCAAATGTACCTCCGGACTTGCATCTGTGGTTTGTGTCTCAGAAATTGAATGCAATGCGAAGACTCCTGCTGCCACTTTCCCGCCCCGGTCGGCCTTGGTTGGGCTCCCTGTACTTGCTTCCAGCCCACTGTCGTCCTTGATCTCTTACACCAATGATGTCTTTGACATAATCTCAGATACATCGAAAATGCCCGTGCAACGGTAGCGCAGTGGGAACCAGGAGTCCTGCAGCATTCGTTTGTTTCACATCCGGTTCCTGGGCAGTCTAGGGCCGGAGGCTCTCCGTAACCGAGTCCGTAGATGACCGGTAACTCTGTAGTAAGCTTGCAAGATCATCAATCACGGTGAGGTAGTCTCATTTTATGGTACACACCAGGAAACCAATCCCATCCACGCGGCATAAGTACCGACCTGTGCCCTGAGGTGGCTGATGGCGTGCTTTGCCCACAACTCCAGATTGAAGGCTTGTGGGTTCTCTGTGGCTTGAACTCGCGTTTCAGATGCGGTCGTTTGGGCGATGTTTTCCCTCGACCCCAGGAGACCACGCTGTCGTGGCTTATAAGACTTACCAGAGAGTCAGCGCCACAACCCTTCTCTGATGCAAGAGCTATCAATGTCACAGCCAGGCCCACTGTCGCTGGGGGACCCCCAAACCGACGAATTCACGTAAATTTATGTCTTCATGCGCGGAGTGACCGCACTGCTCTCTCACAATCAATGGCTGCGTCCTCGATTGCGATTGACCATGGCTTGTCCGGCTGTATGGTCCGCTTTTCAAAGCCTGTTTCCTGTTGGATCAGAGCCTACAATTTCAATATCAACTTTTACGCGCCATACCCTATATGGGATCTCAATTCTGACTGATCTCTTCTTCCTCTAGGATCTTTTTGAGAGGTCGACGGGTTCGCCGTTACAGGGCTTCGACCGTTATGCAAGGGCAGAGGACGGTGCAGCAACGGTACCACTAAGCGGACAAAGGGGATGCTTTGGCCGTCTCCGAATGTAGATATTTTATGCCGACGTATAGATTCGGGCTGGGCGAGCTCGCAATGCTTTTGATTGCCTGGAAGACGATTTAAGCAACCCTATGCACGATCAGTCAAGCTCCTGGGGGTTTTCAAGATAGTGTATACCGGAGGGATCTTTTTTCTTGGGCAGACGCATCGTACTAGAACCGTTCCGCGTACATTTTGCAGATTTGCGTGATGTATTCAGGGAGACTCCCTCCGGTTGTTGTCAGATCAACATAGTCGGGATCAAAAGATGAACGGTGTGGTGGGATAGTGTGTGTGACACGGCATGCTGCAGTAACAAAGGGAGCCTGCTGTCAAGTTGTCGGAGTGGAAGTCAGAGGAGCATCAAGCGGAGCACGTGAGCTGCAATGGCATTCGAGTTCCGCAGAGACTGAACTCTTTCCGGCCCAGGGCCATTGGATGTAAGACTGTGCAACGCACCCACAGGGCTGATACGTCCCTTCAAATCGCCCAAAACGGCTGGTCCTTTCATGCAGAATGCAAAGCCAGTCTGGGCTAGTTGGAAGACACTCGTCTTATAACAGGAGACAAATAGTAACGCGGTCAAGACCCGACCCTCAAAGTAGGATCACGAACCACCCACTAACCCGTATCACAGAACCAGCAAGATGAGACCGAAGTGTCCGCTCAAATGCACAGCACGTAGCAATCAGACGACCTTCAGATGTGGGACGAAGCTTGCCTGGTATGCAAGGAAAATTTGATATTGAAGTACAGACCACAAGTACCAATTTTGTATCTCGACCTCTCACCGTTTGACCCAAGTCGGCCTCTTTCGAGCCTTTAGTCGGCCTGGCTTCTTCCGTTCGACACGTCTCAGATCGGACGTGATACAGCCAGCTGCATTGACAATTAGTTACCGACAAAATGTACAAATGGGACCGATTTCGCTTACCTCGTCGAAGAGCCGGTTTGAGAGCCGGTTCGTGTATCAGCAGGGCCTTGGCCAGTGCCAAAGTGATCGACTCTGCCTGGCCCGTAACTCCGCCTCCTGAGACGAGCGCAAAAACATTGTACTTGTTCAATCTCTCGGTGATTTTCAGCGACCACAGCGCGCTCTCCCTGTCGTGTATGCGAGGGAACATTTGCACAATGCTCCGCCCATTGACCAGGACTTCGCCTGTGCCCTCGACAAGGTACACCTTTGCCGTAGCTTCCTTCCTTCGCCCCACGCCAATAGACCGTCCATATTCGTCAATCTTGCCTGTTTTGCTCGTCTGAAGCTCCTCCGAGCCTGGACGTCGAAATCTATCCAGCACCTGCTTCACCTCTCTAGGCCGAACTCTCGGGTGGATCTTGTTCAATCGCGTAAGAAGATCCAGCACCTTCGAGTATTTGGAAGCAGCAATCTTTTCGCCGATCGTACTGCGATATTGAGTGAGCTTCAACCACACCGCTCGTGGTGTCTGATTTGGAGGAGCTAGAGGTAGTGACGCATGCTTCTTGACAAGAGACTGCAGGAGCAGGACATGGTCATTGAAGACAGGGGAGGCGGTAAAGTATGAAGGTGATGCTGGGATGATTCGGGCTGGGATAGCATTGGGATCTTTGAGATCTAGCTCGGGTGCGGCGCGGATTTGAACATCCGCTTGAGGTGATTTGGTCGTAGAAAAGTTCTGCCGGGGCACCACTGTTCGAAGAGATGTTTGGCGAGCTTGCAACTGGACGCTGTTGATGCGACATTGACGACACGTCCAGGAGATGGCAGATGGAAACGCTCGCACCGTAGGCGGTGACATTTTGTGCGAGCAAGTCGAAGGAATCAGCAGAGACCGGACGGCGATTAGAGAGACAGCATCTGGCACGAAAAAGAGACACCAGATGGCGTGATGCTCTGTGGTGTTCAATCGTGTTCAATCGGCGGCTCAATGGGATGGGAGCTGTTGGAGATGGATCAGGGACAAATTCAAAGCTGAGCTTCTCCCGTGCCAACGAACTGAAGTCCGAGTCCAACTTGAACTTCACGTTGAACTGCCTGCGCGCCAAGCCTCAGCCTGCGGATTTCTTACTGCCACCGCCAGTGCAAAATATTTCGTCTTGAAACCTCCAACTGCCAGTGCTGAGACGAACAACATTACCAACAACATTCATCGTCCACAAACTTGCTGAATCTCATTCAAAATGTCGTTCGGAAAACTCTACGGATACAAGGTACGGTTTCGCTCATGGATATTCAGCTCAAGGCGTCTCAAACTGACGCTACTCAGGATAACTCCCGCTCCACCGTCCAGTTGGCGGTCGCAAAGGAGAACAACCTCGACGTCGAGCTTGTCGAAACTCGCCCTCCCAATGTCGACACGGAATACCTCAAGCTGAATCCCCTCGGCCGAATCCCGACCTTCGTGGGCTCCAATGGCTTCGTCTTGACCGAGTCTATCGCCATTGCCATCTACTGTACGTTTTTCCACCCCGCCTTATCTTCCCTGCGTCCAAAGATGAGCCAAATTATCACATACAGTTATCCCTGACTGAATATCTGTGTTGACCACGTTTGATTCTGAGATTTGTCGTTCTACACGGCCCATGCCTCTCCAAGTCATGAAACATCCAGAACTCCTTGCTAATGAGTCCTATAGTCGCATCGCAGAACGAGAAGACCACCCTCCTTGGCAAGACCAAGCAAGACTATGCCTCGATTGTTCGATGGATGTCCTTCTCCAACTCCGAGATCATCCCTAACCTCGGTGGCTGGTTCCGCCCTTTGATTGGCAGGGATCCATACAACAAGAAGGCGGTCGATGACTCAAAGAAGGCAGCCCTTGAGGCCATCCACGTCCTTGAGCAACATCTCCTTGTCCACACTTTCCTCGTTGGCGAGCGCATCACGCTGGCCGATTTGTACGCCGTCTCTCAGATCGCCCGCGGCTTCGCTACGGTCCTCGATAAGGCATGGCGCTCTGAGAACCCCAACACCACTCGTTGGTTCGAGACCGTCACAGCCCAGCCCATCTGGAAGGCCATCATTGAAGAGCCAGTCATGATTGAGGAGGCCATCAAGTACACTCCTCCCAAGAAGGAGGCCAAGCCTAAGGCAGCCGCTGAGGCCGCACCAAAGGCCGCGAAGAAACCTGCCAAGGAAGAGGAAGAGGAAGAAGAGGCCAAGCCGGAGGTCAAGGCCAAGCACCCTCTTGAGGCTCTGCCGAAGCCCTCCCTGATCCTTGATGACTGGAAGCGCAAGTACTCCAACGAGGAGACCCGAGAAGTGGCACTCCCATGGTTCTGGGAACAATACAAGCCCGAGGAATACTCCCTGTGGAAGGTTGACTACAAGTACAACGATGAGTTGACTCAAGTCTTCATGTCGTCCAACCTCATTGGTATGTAGATGACTCGCTTGACTCCTTTGAACAGTTTCGACTAACCTACTCAATCTAGGTGGCTTCTTCGCCCGTCTTGAGGCTTCGCGCAAGTATCTCTTCGGCGCCATGTCGGTGTACGGTGTCGCCAATGACTCCGTCATCCAGGGTGCTTTCCTGGTCCGGGGCCAAGAGGCGCTCCCAGCCTTCGACGTCGCCCCAGACTACGAGAGCTACGAGTTCACCAAGCTCGACCCCAGCAAGCCCGAGGACAGGACTTTCGTCGAGGACCAATGGTCTTGGGACAAGCCCATCGAGGTCAACGGCAAGAAGTACGACTGGGCTGACGGCAAGGTCTTCAAATAGACGGGGTTCACTGTAGTGTCAGACGGGTTGTCTTCCTCACGGCACTGCCCGTGGCTTTGGCTTGGGGAAACAAGACGCCCATCGAACACTTCCTCCTTGTTGTTATGTGACGACCATGACGTGATGAGTAGGGACAGGACGGATGAGATGAGATCAGACTAGAGCAATCCATGGTCGATACCAATCTTTTCCGAAAGCCTTTCTGCCTTCATTGATCCTATGTCATTGCCATCCAGGCCACAGTGTGGGACATGCGGACCCTACAGACCAATTTACTCCCACGCCTTGCGCTTGCTTCTTGCTTCGTAGGTGGGATAGACCCCGAGATCACCAAGATAAGACAGAGAAATACCGGTCCATGCAGCCTCAAATGTCCCTGTATTAGTACTATGTCGATATTCATGTTCTGGTCAACTGTGCTCCCGTACTAGTGCTGAATCCTGATATAGCATTCTCGCCCACTGAAACGAGAGTCGTGAGACTGCATCCTAAGCCACATGCCTCGGCGAAACCGGACATTAACATGAAGATTCGATGCACAAGATGTATGTCAATCACCTGGTAGTAGAATTGCTAGGAAGACATGGAAGAAAATCCTGTTTTCTGTGACCATCCTGAGTACGTACACAGCACAGTTAAAAGGGAACGAGGCTTTAGCACCCAAGGGGCTTGACCAAAAAAAAGGTCTGGAATTCAGCAAGTATACTGCTGAAAAGAAGTGCAGCAGTAGCGTAGCAGAAGAGCCCTATAGGCTGGAGGTGTTTTGAAAGGCACAAAGGCAAAAACCTCAGCGATGTAAGAGGTCATTGAGTAGAGAGTGGAAGACTTGTCGTTACCAAAAGTAAGAAGACCCAGAGAAAGAGAAGATGTAAGGTTTTGTGGTACATTGATATTTATATTTCGACAGGCTGGGGAACTTGAATCTACAAGGATCAAGCCATGAATTGCAGCTACCTTCAGTATCTAAGGTAAACAGGAGTCTATTACCAACAACATCAAGTCCAACAGTACCTAGTAATTGAGATGGAGGTCACAGCGACAAGGACCAACCCATGCACTTAAGTACCATAGGGTACGATGGACTTACTCACAGCGTTGTACAATAAAGACTCGAGACTGGAAGGCAGGAAGGATGGAGGATTTGAGGCGGCGAGAATGACATAACGGCGACGATGGCTGGACCTTTCCGGGAAAGGAATGTAAGGCCAGAACGGGAGTAAGCTTCAAATTGGAAAGAAGAATGTGACAGGGCAAAATGAGCCACGACGGGGATCTCAGAGCGATATCTTTCATGGGGGATCTTGACTTCGTTGCATGAGCCATCGAGGCAGGATAGATCAGACACGGCAACAAGGAAACAACTATATAAAGCCTTACAAAGGGAGGGAGTAGAGGCAACGAGAATGGAAAAATGGTGAATGGGAAAGCAGATGAGGCAGCAGGCAGGGAAATGTGAACAGCTTGAGAACATGAACACGAAGAACTTGAATGTGGCTACTATTTCAAACAGGATTGGAAGAGAATAGGAGTCTACGGTTCCTCTTGGCTTCCTTTGGTCCCCCCAAAGGGGTTTGCAAAGTACTGACGCCCTGCACCACGAGAAGGTGGGAACCATCGCAGGGCTGAACACAACGAAATCCACGTACCTGAGGGATAAGAATAGTAGAAGGGATTGGGGATGGTATCTCAGTAGGAACGGAGTCAGAGGATGATGAGTAGAGATGGAGGATAGGGAATGGGTATGGGAATAAGGGATGGGATCAGGGAATAGGGTATCTGCGATGAGGGTGAGAAGGTTAGAGGGCGGAGGATAGGTCAGGGAGGTTAGTAGGATAGCGGAGGAAAAGGAGAGGCCATAGGGGGAGGGTTGGGAGCTCGAAGGATCCCAGGGACGGGAGCTCAAAGGGTCCAAGGGCCGTGACCTCTCGCGGGTAGGAAGGCCGGGGTGTCCAAGGAGCGGGAGCTCTCGGGTGTGGGAGGGGAATCCAAGCAGCGGGAGCTCTCGGGGGGTAGGGGGGGCGGAGGATCCAAGGGATAAGGGACAAGAGCTCAAAGGGTCCTAGGCCGGTGAGCTCTCGTAGGTAGGAAGGCCGAGGTATCCAAGGAGCGGGAGCTCTCGGCGATAGGAGGGGAGGAGGATCTAAGGATTAAGGCTCGTGGGTAAAAAGGCTGGGGTTTCCAAGCAGCGGGAGCTCTTGAGGGTGGGAGGGGGAACCACAGGACAAGGGACGAGAGCCCAAAGGGTCCAAGCGCCGTGTTATCTCGTGGATAGGAAGGCCGGGGTGACCAAGGAGCGGGAGCTCGAAGGGGGTGGGAGGGAGAGAGGATCCAAGGGACAAGGGACCTAGTAGAGCCCAGAGGATCCAAGCGCCGTGAGCTCTCGTGGGTAGGAAGGCGGGAGTATCCAAGGAGCGGGGGCTCTCGGGGGTAGAAGGAGGATCCAAGGAATAAGGAACTAGAGCTCAGAGGATCCAAAGACCGTAAGCTCTTGTGGGTAAGAAGGCCGGGGTGTTCAAGCAGCGGGAGCTCTTGTGGGTAGGAAGGGAGGGGGATCCAAGGGACAACGGACGAGAGCTCGAAGGGGATGGGAAGGTCGGAAGATCCACGGGCCGGGAGTCGATGGAATAGGAAGTGTCGGGGAGTCCAAGGGCTCAAAAGCTCGAAAGGTAGGATGGTCGAAAGGTCCAAAAGTCCAAGGTCCAAGAGTCCAAGAGTCCAAAGGCCGGGGGCACAAGGGTGGAAGCTCCAAGTCCCAGACCCCAAGGGAGGAGGTGGAGGTAGATGGCCGAGTTGGTGGCAGGTGGTGATGGAAAAAGGCCGATAGGGGAGACTGGGTGGTTCTCTTGCTGCCTGTCGTTCTCCCAAGCATCTGCGTCCAAGTTGCCAGTAGCGAGCGCCAGCAAAGTCAGCAGCAGGGAATCGAACGACCATCGAGAGCGAGAGAAAGACAAGCAATGCCGTAGGTGAGACCTTGCTTTGTCTTCCTCTCGGTGGTCGTTTGCTTCCCTGGTTGAAAAGCTGCGTGCGCTCACTCGACTGGACAAAAGGAAAAGGGACGGGTTGGGGAGGTGACTGGCAGCAAAGATGCACCCTATGGTGAGAGGCGGATGCCCGTGGGGAAGTGAATGGCCGGGAAGCTCGGCAAGTGAAAGAAGTAGGCAAGTCGGAGAGATGGCCAGGAGAGGGAGATTGGCCAGGGTAGGGAGATGAGATGGTCAGGGAAGGGAGACTGTCAGGTCAGGGCAGTGAGAAGATGAGTGGCCAACACAGCGAGACGTACAGATAGAGCTCTGCGCCGTGACAGAACTGTGCTATGGACGGTAGGAGGTGCAGAAGCAAGACATGAGAAGGGCAATGGGGAGAAGAGAGATATGAGAAAGGAGGATGTATGAGAACAGAGATGAAGAGGAAGAATGGAAGACTGAAGAAAAGAGAAGGAGAAGAGCACCTGAGGTATAAGTAGTCGAGATTCGGCAGACATGCTCTGCCATTCAAGAAAAGAGGCGGGATGAATGGCCCATTGCGAGAAGTAAACCACTCCAAATACAGTTGCGACTTGTCTGGAAAGAGTATCATTGTTGTCGGTGCCATTTGGAATCAGTGCAAGATGACCGGCAGAGCTATGGCTGAGCAGGCTCGCATTGGAGAACCAGACGGCCGCTGATAGATTCACTTCGCAGACCAGCCTCATAATGAGTCACACTCATGACCTCCCCCCGCCTGAAAGGTAAAAGCTGCCATGAATTGGATTGTCGACGAAGATGAGAAAGTTTGTCATTGAGATCCACGAGGCTGAGATGTGAAATGATGTCTTAGGCAAGGCTCGGCGGGCTGCACGGCACGGTATCCAATCAAGTGTGTGTGTGTGTGTGTGTGTGTCGGGGATGGAGGGGATGGAGTTGGGGCCTGTCGCAGCCTCATCCATTCAACCGCAAAGCTGAGCATTGATGAACCAGACGGAACCTCTGCTGGAACTTCCACGCTGTGTAACCTCTTCAACGTGCTGCCTGATTCTGTGACATTGAGCGTTGGTCATCCAGGAAGCAAGGTAGCCAAAAGAGAACTGCATGGTTGAAGTATTCGCTGCAGAACTGGTAGGACAATGCTCCTCGAGTGCTAACTGCGGCAGATCTGCAGAGCATGAGGTTTCTTGCGCCATCGCGTACCACAACGGGAGTTGTTGCAGAGTTAATTATGAATGTAGCCTGATCCACTGTGGTGACTGTTGATGGTGGACAAAGTGGGCAGAATATGATGCCGGTGTCGAAGCATTCGCTGCAGGCAGAGTTGGTCCAATGGGTCTCAAATGCTAAATGCATGAGATCTGCGGTTCACGAGGCCATCTCTTGCCCGCCACCTCCCGAAGAAGGCCAATCAGACGTGGTTTCACAATGAGGCATCAGCCACGAATGACCTGAAGTTCAGACTTAGCGCAATAAGGTTGGCAATTCTGCAGTCAGGCGACCGAGAGCATCGTCTGCTGGGGGTTGACGAGCTGCCTGCCCGCCTGTCCAGGTGGCAACGCCCCGTGGATTGACCGTCGCTCAACCACGACAAAGGCCAGACCATGTGATCCTCATTTAGCAGCGTCGCTGTGCTGGTAGGAGACATTTCAGATATATGACGGCTGTTGGACTGTGGTTGGCTTATAGGTAGATTGGAAGGCGGTGAGATGAAATGCTGCTACGGTCGGCTCTCCGACACAGGATACAGTCATGCCGGCTGAAAGGCATTTGACCGCGTTCGAAATGAAGTATTGCCGTGCTCTCTCGTCTTTCGGCCAATGATGAGGCGGCCTGTAGTAATGAGCTTTCTCGAGCGACACGCAGGGGGACCATTCGAATGATGAGGCATGAAGTCATCATGACATGTTTCAACTTTCAACAGATTGATCTCAAGGCTGAGAAAAACGATTCAGATTCTGCTAGTGCTAGATACCTAGCTTCGCTCATCTCATCGTACCTCGCCTGGTCGTGCAGCAGCGGCAGCCACGTCTCCCTCGATGTTTCGCACGCCTGTCTCTCCTCGCCGGCCTTCCCATAGCCGGACCCAGAACTCAGGAGGATCCATCGGCCGTTGACCTTCATGCAGTCCTGGCCAGACATCCGCGAAGAAGTAGTAAACGTGGCCGACAACCACGCCCAGAATCTCGTCCTTTGGAATGCTCCCGTGCATGAACATGTGGAACGCCATCAGAACCCACGGCAGATATGGCGCAGTAAACACAAGAACTCCGATGAAACTGAGGCGAATATCGGGGTTCCGTCGCGACCAAATGTACACCAACGTACTGGACAATGCCGACCCGAGAAATGGGATGGAGGTTGTGAGCGTACTGAGGACGAGGAGCGAGGTGCAGGCGTACAGCAGTAGCCATGAGAAGACGGCAGGCGATGGCCCAGATCCTTGTTCCAACAGTCTTGAATATCGCTGGAGGAAGAAGATGTGGAAGGCAAGATCGAGAGAGGGCGGTCCGAAGTAGATGAAGGTGGTGAATAGGCGCCAGTACTGCGATGGTCAGTGTGATGTCCTATCAATTGGAGTACAGGAAGTTACTAACTTGTGATTTATAGTAAACCGCCGGGAAGGAGTAGAACAGTTGGAATGGTGTGATGACCTTGCACTGTAGCAGAATGGACGTGATGACGGTAGCAGTGGTCCAATATCGTGTACATGGCGGCATCTCAAAGAACCATTGTTCCAGCGGAAACTGCCCCAGCTGCCCCAAGGGCTCCTCGCCGCCTCCAAGCATGGCAGCCATTATTCACGGTACAAGATGGAAGAAGGGTAGGATCGTTCGGGAGAGTTCAGAGGACAAGTCGGGGTTTTTGGATAATGGTGCACACCGGGCAGATGATCAACCGAGTCAGAATTCGAGATCGATATCGTAGGTCCTAGCAGTCATGGTGATATGTGTCTGGCGACGGCGTAGGTGACACTATGGGAAACGGGAAGAGTTGAGGTTAACAAGCGATGTTAGGTGGCCTCTCCATGAACATGCCCGAGATGGAATGATGTCGAACGCAGGTCTGATCTCCGACGGAAGGCTGCAAGGATACAGTAGCCGGAAGTGCAGTGGGCGATAAGAGTGACAAGGGCCGCTTAACCCTCAAGCAAGCCCTTAGGGCCTTTAGGCTACTACTAGCAATTCTAGTACTACCTCTAGATGTTAACCACGGACTGAGGACGCGCCCAGAACTTCATTTTTGGATGAAACGACGCGACATGGTCACGATGGCCGCTTCCTAAAGTCTTTGCGCAACTTCACTACAACTCGCCAACACCAGAACTCTGACGATTGCTCGACAGCAGTTCATTCCCAAGGGACGGCCGAGTACCACGAACACAAGCACTCCCAGACGCTTGCATACCCAACTATCGCGCACCCGACCACCCGACTTGCAACCCCGCGTCGGCGACCATCTCTGTCTAAGATTGAATTGAATCAAATTAGCACTATTACCTCGACCTTTCCACCATCGAACGATTCGGCGCCGATAGTGTCGAGCACAACATACTTGCAGAAACATGGCTCTTACGAAAAGCGTGCGGCGGCGCTCAGGACCGGCGACGCCCAATCGAGGGCAAGCTAAACGAACGAATCCTTCTCCAAGAACATCTGGCAGACGAGGTCGCGCGCAACGTAAGTTGTTACACCTGCTAGTTCCAGTAAATCTCTTTACTGACTGAAGGCAACCAGCGGGCGACCCAGTACCTATGAGAAAACCCCACCGCTTCAAGCCGGGCACGATCGCACTGAGAGAGATCCGGAGGTACCAACAATCCACAGACCTCCTCCTCCTTAAACTCCCCTTTGCGCGGCTCGTCAGGGAGATCGCGCAGTACCTCCTGCCCTCGCATGCGGCGCACGAATTACGGTGGCAGAGTCAGGCGATCCAGGCTTTGCAAGAGGCGAGCGAGGCGTTCTTAGTCCACTTGTTCGAAGACACGAATCTGTGCGCCATCCATGCGAAGCGCGTCACCATCATGCAAAAAGACATACAGTTGGCACGGAGGCTGAGAGGTGCATGGGGTGGGCTTGGATGATATTAAGACAAGAACATATTCTGGGTGCATGAACTGTTTTAGTCAAGGTGTTGGAGTACATTATCGGATACCACCTTCTGGTCGTGGACTCTGGCCCTGAGTGTGAAAACTCGCATTGTATGGGGTCTGGCGCGGGCACATTTGTGATACCTTATTGGAATGATTTGGAGTTTGAAAGTCTGCGAGAGCGTTGTTGCTGGCCATTGAGAGAAGAAATCCACAGCTCATGGGTGTTGATTCTGGCACGTGAGAAGCCACATTGCCATCCTGACCTTTATGCTATCCCTTTCATAACCGAGTCCAACGTGAGTGTTTGGACGCATCCGCCAAAACCCTCGTTCAACCATTGACACTCGAACCAAGGACGCCTTTCGTACTCGTGACATCGCCGCTCCCAACACTTCCTTCCGCCCTTCTCTCACAGGCCTGTCTACACGCCACAGCGAGAGCCTTGAACGCGCTCTCTGCTCTGTGGTGGTTGTTGTGGCCATACACGCACTTGACGTGAAGAGTCACGCTTGCGGCCTGGGCGAAGCTCTCCAACCCATGCGTCAGCATCTCCGTGCTCAAGTCCCCAATCTTCTCCCTGGTGAAGCCGAAGTCAATGACACTGTAGGGTCGATTGGACAGGTCGATGACCGCCCACGACAAGGCTTCGTCGAGCGGTGCATCGCCTCGGCCAAAGCGAACGATAGAAGCCCGCTTGCCCAGCGCCGCATTGAACGCCGATCCAACTGCCAGGAAGACGTCTTCAGCAGTATGATGGTCGTCGACGATCAGATCTCCAGAGGCCCGGATCGCAAGAGACCACCCAGCATGTTTCGCCAGGGCGTGAAGCATGTGATCCAGGAAGCCAATGCCGGTGGAAATGGCGATTTGCTGGGTACGGGTGATTTGCGTGGCGTGGTGCGACGTCGGAAGCGGAATGAGGACATCGGGATATGTTTGTTTCTGCGCCGTAGGAAGCGAAGCAGGAAAGTGCTCCGAGGGCTCATAGGCCAGTAACGAGCCTCCGTCTAGTGAGATAGAGATCTGAATCTTGGTCTCGTTGGTGATGCGCGAGAGTGTATGTGTGCGCCGCGGCATTGACAGCGTCGTGGGTTGCTCAACAGATCCCATACTGTCGATGTTCCGGAGAGAACTGGTCGGAGAGAGTCTTGAGCGTGATCAACGTGTCGAATTGAGTATCACAATTTGGTTGTTGAAGGGCTTGAACGGTATGAAGTTGAAAGTAAAATCAGTTTGCGGCATAGTCGATGATTGCTCCGCTATAGTAACTACGTAATACTAGTATCGCTGTAGGGCCCTGGCGAAGACGGTGATGGTCGTCTCGTCGTCCTTTCCCGGCTCTCTGAGTGGTGCACTTACTGGCAGGTTGGCCGAGCTCAGAAAGCTCCACCCAATTCGGCAACTCGACATCACTCACGACAAACGAACTGCGACCTACGACCTACGACCTACGATTTCCCGCAATCTGCGCTTGTCACGCTCTCATGTGAGCTCCAAAACCGGCACAATGACCATCAACCCTACTTACCTCGCCCAGCGAACACGGTCGTGTACGTTCCACCCCTTCCTTCCCACGACCCTGCGCGATGACTGACCAATCCACAGCGATCAATTGGTCGGATGCGCGCCGACGAGTCCTGAAGTCCTATCGAGAATGGCTGAGAGCTGTACGTGCCGCTACCTTGTGAAGATTTGTTGCGGAAGAAAGCACATGCTGAAAAAAGCGACGCACAGAGTCCGGAGATCCAGTCGATGTACTCTCTCAACATGCCCGTCTCCAAGATCCGCACGAAGGTCAGACAAGAGTTCGAGAAGCACAGATATGTCAACAACATCCAGGCCGTGGATGTGCTCATCACGCACAGCCACGCTGAGTTCCAAGTACGTGGTGATCACGATGTCGTGTCGCGGCCAGACCGGATGTCACTGACAAGCGGTCATATTGCAGGAGACGTTGAACTTCTGGAAGCAGAATACGCATGTCATGAAGTACTTCAGGCCGGAGGAAGACGACAACGCCAGATTACCAAGCAACTTCATCAGTGGTTTCCTCGAGGTAGGTTTACAAAGCTTGTGGACGAATTAAAGTGACGCAGACCACGAGACTGACGATTTGTCCAGGGCCGGAATTGAGCCGCTTGTGTTCTGTCTAAATCCAACACTGTACATAGCTAGAACAAGACTCCTGAGCGCCTTCGCCATGCAATCAGCCGAAAAAGAAAGTCCAAAAGCCGTGGAAGGATTCTCATGACTGTTGAGCGTCAAACTCGTCCCGTGCCTCGGTGAACTTCTCTGAAATCACGTCACAAGCCTCCATCATATCCTCCAGCCCTCTCCTGAGAGCGTCTACTGCAGTTGTCTTGGTGTCCTCTGCTATCTGTTAGTTTCCCTTCTGTGCCGAGAAATGAGAGAAGAGCGATCTCTTTCGAAAAAACACGTTCTTCGGACAGTCACTTACCCCATGTTTGGATCCGGATGTGCATCTTGGTTTCGGAGGGATGCGGGATGGTGTAGCCGCAGAATTCAACGTCAGGGCTGTACACAGTTAGTCTGGGAACATACTGGGCATCCCATGGTGTGAGATTACTTCTTATTGACAAAGTACCGTAGCGCATTCCCCATGGTGTGGTCTTCTTTTTCGATCTGGAATGATGCGGCATGTGACGACGCGCCAGGTAACTAATGACAGAATTCTCAGCCTCGTCCGTCGAGAGGGTACAGCGACCTGAATTAGGTATTGAAATTTGGTGTCGGCATAGACTTACCACAACCAATTTCTTCACTCCGCCTAATAACAACTCTTCACCATGGTCGTAGGTTTCTTCCCCGGTCGGGGCATCTGGCATAGTCTCCGACATTTTTGCTGCAGATGTAACGACTGATCTAGACCTCACAGGACTTTTCCAAAGCCAACAGCGCTCTTGAAAATCGTTTTTATTCGGATGGATTTGCAGATATCAAACTTCGCCCGAAAGCGTTTAGCAATGGCAGGATCTAGTCTAAATGAGGCAAGGTGTCCGCAGTACTGAATATTTAATGTCAGACGTCAATATAAGTGGCAATAAACACCCGATCTCGCAGAAGAGACATTGACTGACGAAAATCTTTCTGACAAGAAATGCTCCCCCGCACGTGTACGACTATAGTAGTAGTATGTGCGCATCAGGTCGATCAAAATACCTTTGTACCTGCACCACTGTCGGCATGCAAGGTAGTGAATGAGGTAGTCTTTGGAGGACATCTCAGGTTCGAGGCCTCTGGTGACTTTGACATGCTTTCGAAGAACGCCTTTCGTGTTTCAAAGATGTTGCGGTCGACTGTGCAGGGGGCACGTGGAAAGCTGCAGCTCTTCATTTCCGATACTCGTGCAACCGTCTGCTCGAGGATAAAGGCTACATGACCTCAGATACCGCGCAAGTCGATAAACCATGGCGTCAAGCGGGGTTGATATGTCTGCAAAATTGGGCCTACGGACAGACGAAGCGTCTTACGCGGGCAGATAATTCACGTTGACTTCGGAATCAGTCAACAAGAGAGGACGAAGTGGTACATAGCACCGAAATAATGGGTTGAAGAGGTCATTGAGTGAGTAGCAACGAGGTCGACAGCGGAAGGACATTACGCCTGGAAAGCCAACGTATACGTTGAATGCAACACCCGTTCCTAGGACAAGTCTGACTGAACGACCAGCTTCTCTGAAACACCAGACTTCTTGCCTGTACTCTGTATACTCACCGGCGACTGAGAAGCGAGCGGGCTCCTCATGGATAGACAAGAAGTCATAATGAGCTGGCCTTGTTCATTGCGGAGTCTGTGATCGTTGAGGCAAAGGATGAGTGACCAGATTCGGAGAGCGAAATCCAACGGTCGGCAGCCTCGAGGAAGACCGCGTGATGAGAGATGTGCTTGATGGTAGAAAGGCGAAACACAACCACAAATCTGAATCATCGTCTCGGTCTTTCCAGGGACTGCGAAGTGCTGGAACTCTGAGCCTCGCGGTGGCGACGACACTTGGAGTGTTCCCAGACAGGACCTTCGTGCGAACTTTGCTTTGCGACGTCTGCGTGCACAACATGCCCATAAGTGATTTTCTCCACCTCTGCTGCAAGCAATATGACTACCAACAAGTAGAAAGCCGTAAAGATCTATCGGGATTCGCATGTGGCAAGCAGCTTCGCGGACCCAAGCGAGACAGGGATAAAAGGGGTATGGCGGAGACAAAGGAGCCGTTGGTCCCGTGTCAGGCGTTTCAGAGCGACGCATCATTCGGCCACCACGACTGAACTGTGGTACTAGTAGTGCGAACAAGCATAATTGGCATCCCTCGTGGCTGGAATGGGGGATGATTGGAAACGGTTGTCTGGAACTAGCAAAATGTGAGACGGCGAGAGTGATGGATTGGAAGATCGTGATCATCGATTGTTAAGTCGGTGGTCGCCTTATGTTTTGAATGGTGCTACACGTACCTACCTACTTAGAGCAGGGAAGCAATAATCAGCAGTGGCGAAGGAGTTTGTTGATGTTTCAGACCTCGCGACGACATCTAGGTAGAGATGTATCCGACCCTTGACCGGCCAGGGCTGGAGTCTCTTTGAAGTGGTTGTATCATCGAACAATCGTCGCAGCACGACAAAGTACTAGAGCGTTTCGGCGACCTGCAGGACCAAATCAACTTCGAAGGTTCTTATCTAGGTCTGGATGATGCGCACGCTTTGAGCAAGATGTGACAGCGGTAGCCAAATGATTCCGATTCCCTACTGAGACGCCGTATTTTGAGTGCGGTATGCAAGACATGGGTCCTTGATGGATTCGGGCACGATATCCTATCAGCAAATGTACGAGGAATGAGTAACGTTCGCTTCGGGCTTTTTGGCAGAGGTTCTGGTGACTCCCCCAAGGCCCAATAGAACGACGCTGTCCACTCTTGCTCCATAGGTTTGACGGCAGCGGCCCCCCTAGCCGCTGCACGTCTTCTGCGACAGGGGTGACAAGCGTCCTCATAATGCGCAACATGGTCTCAGACCGAGTGTAACGTATGGCAGCAGATTCGCAAGAGGCTGGCGTTGGGGAGTCCGAGCATCCGGATCGGATTCAGTATGCGGCTTCTGCAACCTGATCCTCAATGTTTTGTCTGTCGTGCCGTATCGGGTAGGATATACAGTCCTGCGAGACCTCGGATAGGAGGCCGACACGAGGCTGAAAGCATCGGCGAAGTGTTTGTGGGGGACTCCAAATGCTCAGGCAAATGCTCAGACAAATGCTCAGGAGAGACGCGTTGAATTCAAACGCTATGACGGCCGTGGGGCGAATCTGAGGATCAGTGCGATGGGGAAAAACCACGATCCCACTTCGATGAGCGACGTACGTGTTCTGTTCGTTCAGGATGTCGATCCATTCAAGCGCAGACTGGCTCAGGCGGCTGCGCGAAGATGAAACACCATTTGCCGCACGGTGCGTGAAGGGCGGTTCGCAGTAAGAGAAGCCATCTGGAAGGCACCGTTTGACATGCAATGCAGTGAGAGTCCGCCAAGCCATGTCACAGTTGCAGCGCACTGGCAGTTCAAGTTGCATCCAGAAGGCTGACTATCACTGCAAAGGCATTAGTGAGACTGCCTAAAGGGCAGGACCGACCTTATAGTCAAGTCCGTCATATCGCAATACGCGTTGACCGCCTCTTGCAACCTTGCCGACTAATGAACTTCGAAACGACAGTGTCTAAAGACCGGCAGGGTTGGCGACGAGATCATAGGTAACCTAACTACTACTAGGTAGTCGAAACACACCTTCTCCAGAACGTGCCAATGGGTTGTATTTGAGCCACATATGCCTTCGCAGGTGTCGCATTTCACCGGGTGGACCTTTGTAAAGGGCTTGTGGCCTGTCTCGTGTTTATGCTCTCAGAGAGGCAGCGAAGTTGTAAGGGCATTTTCGTAAGTGCCTAGCAAGGCACTACCTGTCACAGAAAGACCATCAGACCCTGTTCGAGCGCTGAGTGCTTCAGGCTGTGGCAGAACCCCTGGAAGCCATGGCCGTGCCTATCCCTGACCAGGCTTAAACAGGCATTGTGACACTGCCCAGCGGAGGGCTAGGGCGGCTCCTTAGGCTCATCAGGCTTAAGGGCTGCCGCTTACCTGGGTCTTTGGTAGCCACTACTGGGCACTGACCGCTCAACAGCCCCCGTCGGGCCCTTAGCTTTCGGCGTCCAGGCTTGATTAGGGAGCTTGAGACAGTAACCGTCAATGAGTCTGGGTCTGGCTTCACCTGGAGGCAAAGCCAATCGCCCCAAACGATTCAACGAACACCCCCCAGTCCCCTCCCGAAGTATGTCTATCCTCTGTGGTGTCCACTGTCCAATGTCATCCATATCTGTGCCACCTCCTCCTCAAACCCGTGACCTGGAATGAAACAGCCGTGCATCTCATTCGATTGATTTGTTGCAGCTGCCAATGCCATTTTCGTTTCCTCCTTGGTGCCAGACTCTCGTTACTGCTTCTGCTTCTGCTTCTGCCCTCCTTCCCACCCACCTTCTCCCCTTTCCATACCTTCTTACCGTCAAAAGTCAACCCCGTCTATACAAGGCCGGCCTTCAAAGGACGACCTAGCCGCTCGTTGCTTTCTCATCCCGTGCTATACGATAGCCTACGCCCTCCGCCCTCGCCTTGACCCCTAGAGGCGTCTAGCACTTCACTGCTATCACGGTCACTCGCTTTGTACCCGATTGATTCTAACCGCTGCACCGCTTGCCACGCCATTTATTCGGTCGACCTTTCGTTCCACCATTGCCATCTTGCTTGGCCCCGACCAGAATCCAGTTGCGTGGGAAGGTGCAGTGCGTAATTAGTGATCAGAGGCAGAAAGAGTTGGATATCTCTCCGGACTGCGCGCTTTGGCGACATCAACGGTCGTCCTCTTCTCCCCGATTCTCCTTCCGCCGGGCTCATCATGTCGACTGCTGTAGCCTCGCCCGCTATCGCCCCATTGCCACTTGACCGACATCCAAGCCCAAGAAGTTACCCTCCTTTGGCTCCTTCGGCTAGTGCGCCGCCGAAAGAGAAGGCCACCGATGCAGCATCGACTTCGGAGACAAGTGCTCCCAGCAATCCCAATGACAGAACCCCGACGGATGGCAAAAGATCTCCGAGATCGTAAGTCATGAACCTTGGTCTTGGTGACAATGACAAGCTAACCAACTCGCTCGTACGGTAGTGCCAGAAGTTCCGGCCATCCTAAAATCATTGTCAAGAAAGAGCCTCCCGCGTCTCCCTCGCTTCAAGCCAGCACCCGCCACAGACCTAAGAAGCTGGATTTGAACACAAACACGGCCGCCATCTCCGCCGGTATTAATTCTCGGCCCTCGGCAACACCATTGACTGCGAGGGACGGACTGAGGATGCATGATGTCGGTTTGGCCTGTTTGTCCCCGGGCTTTCAAACCGAAGACCCTGCTATGCGAGAGCAATTGGAACGCAGTATATCTGTCCGAGACCAACAGCGATCAATCATCCAAGCGAGACTACTCAAATCCGCCCGAGGGGATGGACCTGATTCGGGAAAGGCGATTGAAGCGGCCAGCTCAGCCAACAAGACCATCTCAGCCAGTGCGAAGAAAAGACCTCCTCCAGGTTTATCCATTGTCCCTCCCCCGGCCGAGCGCTTTGCCAATGAACGAGTCATTCAATCGGCACCGTTGAATCAAACCTTTACTGGCAGGCATGAAGCCCACCCGCCATCCCGACAAGTCAGTAATCAGCAGTCGAATCTGTCTCAAACTTCTCATATCCATCACATGCCGGCCATCCAGACCAACAATCGATTGCCCCCGATCACTGACGTCTTCGGCGCCAATGAACTGAACCCCGGTCCTGCCCGACCACCCTTCCTTCAGACCAACTCGGCTCCGTCGCAAAGTCATGGGCCCCCTCTCCCCTCCCCAGGTTTCCCACCCCAGACTGCTCATCCAATGTCTCAACCGCCCCTGCCGCCTTTCGACCGACCTCGCGAGTACAGATCTGCCGAAGAGGCCGTGCACGAGCTGATTGGGGGTCGAGAGGACTTATTGCCGAAGATTGTCCACTATGGCGGGCACCAGCCACCAACACCTCCTTCTCCCCACCCGGGTCATAAGGATAATCTTACACCTCATCACTACCAGCCCAACAACAACTATACCACCAGTAAAAGGAGGAATCGGAATGAGTACGAAGAAGGAAGCAGTCCGCCCCTAGGTAGCGGGCGGGAACGTGTCCCCTACAATGGGCCTTTTGGTGAAGGAAGAGATAGCCCGGCCACGCAGACGGCGAAAAAGGAGGAATTTTTGAGTTTGTGCTCGAGAGCGTGGGACTTGTTCCACTCTTGAGCCCCATTGGTGGCGACGACTCGCCTACATGGACCCCGGCTCTTTACCGACATTTCCTCGTTTCCTCGTTTCCTCGTTTCCTCATGTCCGAATGGGTGATGGCGCTGCAGGGTATAATGAGTTCTGATGGTTCTTCTCTTTAACTCAGGCGGGGCGGGGATGTATGGATCTGAATATGTTGGTTCCATCTCTCTGGGGCCCTCTTTTCGGGGCACAAGGGGGATATGGATTCTGATCGACGGTTGTCGCTCTGTCTCTCGTGATGAATTTTCTTTTCTCCAGGAACACCAAGCTGTATAATGACCAACAGGACTGGCTGGACTGGGACTATTTTCTTTGATACGGTGCAGTGGTGGATATCCAGGATATTCCCTGACGAATGGGCTTACTGCTATGTGGGAATGGAAAAGAATGTGAAATGCTCTATATCTCTAGAACAGTATTAGTGGTTATGGCTTTGATGACTGCATTGTGGATGGCTTCGGTAGCGATAGGACAAAATGTTGAAGTGAAACATCTATCCATTTCGACGTCTGTTCATCACTGTAAGAGGAGTCTGAGATGCTGTGGGAAGACGCCCAGCATTTGCAACGTCAAAGTAGAACAGACAACGCAGGCATGTGCTACTAGATACTACTAGGTAATGTAGGTCGGTATCTGGATAGGTATCTGCCTAGTAGGATCATGCCCTCCACAGTCTTACAAGTGGTGCCCCCAGAGTAGGTTAGGTAGTAGTATGGACGCACTTATAGTATATCTCTCCAAAACTTCCCCGATGATTCATCACTATCACCATTTTCGAAATGTTGGAGAAACCCCGGCGAGGCTGAACCAAGCGGAGCGTCCCGCCCCCCGTGCTTGTCTGCTCAGCCAGTGCTCCGTATCTTCGTCCACAAACAGACTCCCGTACCCGAACTTGAACCCACGGCCGAGCAAAGGATGGAAATGGACGCGGGGCGGAGGAGAACTCCTGAAAATCAACACTGGCGTCGTTGCAACGCCCGACCCTAGATATCGATACTTGAGACTGGCGGAACGTGGCTTCAACCTCGCCGTCCACAGGATCGACAACGTTCCACTTTGTCATCGCGTGGACCAGAAGGGCGAAAACAGATAGGGTCATACGGGTTACTCTTTGGGAGATTGACCAAGAGCGCGACCGCCAGAGGTGGTCTCATACACAGAAGAGCCAAGTCGATACTTCGGCCTCGATGCCCCCATAAGCACTTCAAGTTACAGATACGGACGTCACCACTATTGATTGCCATCACCACAAGCAAGACGGCGCAAAATGAAGGCGCAAGTTCTCGAAGCGTTCAACCAGCCGTACACGTTGCGGACGGATTTCCCGGCTCCACCCGCTCCGGAAGGCTACGAAATGCTCGTCCGCGTCCTCGCCGCTTCGTACTGTCATACCGACGCCGTGTTCGCGTCGGGGGCCATGCAGCAGGATCTCCCGCGGGTAGGATCGCACGAGTTCGCGGGGACGGTGGAAGCCATGGGCACGGAAGCCGAAAAAGTGGCCAAGCATAGAGGGCTAGTCAAGGGCCAGCTGGTCGGTGTCCCGGGACGAGCGTTTCGATGTTGTGGCGAATGTGCCGAGTGTACAGACAACGGGGGTGACGAGCCCGGATATGGAGTCTGGTGTTCGCGCGCAGGAAACCTAGGACTGTCGCGCGATGGCGGGTTCCAGGAGTACTGTCTCGTCGACGTGCGGCAGGTGGCGCGGGTCCCGGAGGACCAGAACATGCGCGCCGTCGATGTCGCGCCGCTCATGTGTGCCGGGGTCACAGTGTGGAATGCGCTAGAGACGGCCGGTGTCGACGTTTCAGGTGCTGGAAGCGGGAACTGGAATGGGAAGGGCAGGTCGATTGCAATTGTCGGTGCGGGCGGCGGACTGGGTCATTTGGGAGTCCAATTCGCTGCGAAACTCGGATGGCATGTCGTGGCGGTCGACACGACACCTGTGATGGATATGTTGAAGGAAGTGGTTGCCGAGTTGGGCGATGACGGTGCGAATGTCACAGTCGTGGATGCTTTGAAGGAGTCGGTGGAGGACGTCAAGAAGCGTATCTTTGGCGAAGCCCCCAAGGGGCGCGAAGGCGAGAACGGGTGCGATGCTTCTCTGACCCTGCCGGAGTCGCAGGCAGCTTTCGATTTCGGGATGGGCGTCATCAAGAACCACGGGACTTGTGTCTGTGTCAGCTTCCCCAAGGATGGGTGGCGCTTCAAGCCCGGCGATCTGGTCTTTCGACATATCAAACTGCTGGGCATCCTGACGGGGCGTAACCACCAGTTGCAGGCCATGGTCAATTTTGCCGCCAAGAACGGTGTCAAAGCGAAGATCCGGAGGTATCCCTTGGAGAGGCTCAACGAGCTGGTGGAGGATTATCACCGCGGCGTGGGCGGTAAACTGGTCGTTGATATGACACTAGAGCCATGATATTCGTGGATAGAGCACACGCGGTTCTTCATCAAATCAAATCCGACGGCTAGGCCTTTTCTTCCGTAGCATCGTGGATAGAAATGTCATCCTTCGCGTCTGACCCGAGGCATATCTTTGGCATCTTTGCCCTTTTCTCTCTTCTGGCGTCTCTTCTCTGCTTTATCTCGCGCCCGTTTGCTCATGCCTTGCATCTTCTCCTCCTTCGCCAGTTTCCTCACGTCGGCCTCTTTCAAGAAGTAAGGCTTCGCTTTCTGTCCCGTGCGCAGAGCCTCCTTCTCTTTCTCCTTGTGTTTCTTGCGGATTTCGTTCTCGCGCTGTCGAGCTTCTGCACTTCGGATCTTCGCCTCCATCGACATGACTTGTCGCTTTAGATCAGCAATCATTTCCGGGTCTTTGGCTTTCTTGATTTGCGCTTTCAGGTCAAGGATCTCGGCGGCTTGGTATGTGGTCAGGAAAGAGTAGTTCTTGTTCGCCTTTTCCACAGCAGTGGGGTCGCGGTTTGAGGACATCACCGTGGGATCGAAGCGCGGGTCTCGAAATTTCAGCGCAGGCGAAGGCTCGAAAATCGTTCTCTTTCGTGAGACAGGCTTTCGAGCCGACTCAATGGCAGGGGCATGTTTCGATGTCCGTTTCGGCGCATCGATACGGGGTTCTTTGGCTCGGCGACGAGTGTCGAATGTATCTTCTTCGTTCTTTTTTCCCTTGTCCGAGACTGCTTCTTCTTCTACCGCCTCTCCCAGCTTTCGTTTCCTCAGTTTCGGGTTGAACGTCTCTTGTGCCTTTGCAAGCGCCCCAAAGCTGATCTCCTCCAGAGCTACGTCCTCGTCCTCGTCCTCATCTGACTCGCCGGTGGCCTGGTCATCCTTAGAATGTTAGCATTTCCCAAGCATCCAAGCCTGAATGCGGTACCTCCTGATCAGATTGCGAATCGCTTTGGCCAGGCTCGCTGTCCTGTGATTGATCACTGTCGTTCTCATCCTGGTCGAAAGACTCTAGCTCAACATCCTCTTCGTCGTCATGCCGCAGCTGGACCGGTCGATCCAGAATAGAGGCGTAAGCCATTTTGTAATGGAGGCTACATGTAGTGAGAGTAATTTCAAGTTCCCTCTATAGTCGACATCAACTTTTTTTGCAAAAGCGGCGAGTGACCATCGGGAGATCGACAACTCTAATGCCATTAAAGTAGGAGACGACACTATGCCTAAAATGGCAGACGCAGCCTCTCGCGGACTATTGGACTTTTGCTCGCATCGCGAGACATTGATTGTAGACACGGTCGTGGTGTTTGCTTCCAGGCGTCGCGCCATCTTCACATCCTACTCTGTTTCGCGCTTTGTCCTCTATCACACTGGAGGGCCATGCCTTGCGATGTGAGGCAGTCTTCCGCCTTTGTCGCAGAGACCTATCAAAAGTCTGGCTTGTCCAAACCTCACGCTTTTCCATCTCTTCACAACTAACACCTTTACCAGTGGCAGCGCAAGCATCCAGTCTTCCTGAAACCTCCGCCGTCGAGTCGATCGCTCTGTTACCTCTTCTTTCAGCCCATCATGGGTCGAGGCAAATCAGATAGGGCCTATCCTCCGGCAGCCCCCATGGGCCAATTTCGAATGCCTCAAAATAGGTCCCCATACACTGGTTATTCTGAGCCCACCACGTCTACAGACCCTTTTCAGCTTGGTCATGGCACTGAGAGCACACAAGGTGAACGCTTTGATATCTCTGCTTAGGACAGAATTGACATATACAAACTAGTGGACTCTTGGAGATCATACAGAAACGATACTGTTACCCTTCAGACCTTCACAGATTCGCACCGTTACCAGACGACCCATGGTTTCAATGGTTTCAATATGCCCGAATCTCAGTGCCAGACCGGCTACCAGCCCGGACCGCAAGAAATGAATCTTAATTCGTTTCCATTTCAACACCCACAAACCCAAGGCTCGCAGTTCGCACCGTATCAGGCGCTCAGGTTAGTCCAGAATTACGCTCGATATCCTACATATCGAGTTGACAAACCATACAGAATGTCGGATGGAGCCCGTGAAAGACAGATTGTGCAACAATCACGGCATGCATTGGGCCAGACCACTCCTCAAGCCACAGTATCTCTATATCCAATCCGACATAGACGGGTCGAGCAGATCGCGCCATACAGCACCACAGCGCCGCAAGATATACCTGTTCAATCAATTGAGACTGGTGCTGCTTCTCCGAATTCGCTCGAGTCTCCAGCCGGTCCAACACGCAAGGTTGTGGCTCGCCGCAGCCGCACACGTACCGCCACCCCTGAACCGCCACCTGTACCAAGTGCCAGCGCGGAGTACAAACGAAAAGCCGGCTTACCACCTGCACGCAGGCAGACACCTCAAAAGCTCTTGGTTGTGCTTGATCTCAACGGGACACTCCTCGTCAGACCGAACCGGCGGCAACCCACAAAGTTCAAGATCAGACCAGGCGTCACACAGTTGCTGGATTATCTATTTGACAACCATGTTGTCATGGTCTATTCCTCGGCCCGACCGGAGAATGCAGCGGGCATGGTGGCAAACCTAATCCACCCAAAGCAGCGGCAGCTGATGGCAGGCGTGTGGGCCAGGGACAAGCTAGACTTGAACAAGGCACAGTACAACAGCAAGGTTCAGGTGTACAAGAAACTGCACAAGATCTGGGCGGACCGCAGCATCCAAGCAAAAGCGGAGCCTGGTCGCAAGTGGGATCAGAGCAATACAATTCTCGTGGACGACAGTCAGTTGAAAGCGCTTGCTCAGCCGCACAACTTGCTGCAAGTCCCGGAGTTCGAAGACAATGCTCCCCGAGAAGGCGGCGTCGCCCTACGAGACTGGCAGCTGAAGGAACAGGCGATCCTCCAGTCTTTGGAGCAGAAGCTCGAGGAACTCAAATGGCAAGTCGACGTGTCGAGGCTGATCCGAGACTGGCAGACCGGAAAGCAACACGCGCCAGGCGTTGTTGATGAGACGGTCGATCAGAAGACCCATCAGAGCCTTCAACACCGAGAACCTCTCAGTCCTACGCCGAGCGTCGGTCAACCGGACACTTCTCGGCAGTATTGGCAGAGTCCGTCGCAATCCGTTGGTCTGGAAACCAACCCGACCGAAACCGAGACATCTTCTGATGCGGATGGCGGGGTCGAGGCTCAAAACAAATCCGTTCTCGATGCGTTGGAGGAGGAGATAGATCGCAGTCTACAAGTCGAGCACGCGGATGCGAAGGATCAGCGGCGCAGTGAGTCGCCCATCGACGAGAATGTTTGGAAAGAGATTCTGAGTGGCGGCCAAAAGGATGATAGGCAGAGGAATAAAGGCTCGCTCGGCAATGTCCCCCCTACACCGGAGAGCATGGCTGCTTGACCTGCTTCCTCCAACCGGGGCCTCATCCCAATGTCCTCTCGAGGGACCCGGCAGATGGGCTTCGAAATCTACATGATCTTTTTACGAATAACGCGCCCCTTCAAGCGGTCTGCGTATGCACTGCAGGGGACTTGAGGGTGGATGAGAGCGGGAGATTGGCAATCTTGTCAGAGTAGCTGTGCTACATACAAATACGCAGATACGGGAAGAATGGAAGCCATCAACAGCCCTCCTTCTAGGTACTGTACTTGGCAAAATCACCATTTGCCCTTCATCTAGGTAGAAGCCAAAGCAAAGCAATTCAAGGAACAACTCATCATTCATTAATTCAATTTAGCTCGATGTAGCTCAATGCCAGGTCTGGATCGCGAGAAGATTGAACTTTTCCCCTCAAACAAATCTGTTGTACAACAATCCACCGTCCCATTGAGAGCCTAGCAGAAGAGGCACACTGTAGTATCGTCAGGCACCAACGAGTTCTCACCGCTGTGTCGATGACTTGATCTTCTCCGGCAACAGGTCCCAGCCGGCTTCAGCTTCAGCGCGCCTCTCCTGTGCTTCTTTCGCATGGCCATTGACCTCAAGTGATTCGGCCTCCAGACCAGCAGCGACATGTGACCACATGGGTTCTCCCCATCTTTTGACTTGATGGCTTGCGGCCCTGGCGCATTTCATCCCCTGCTCGTCGACCGTGCCCTTGAATAGCTTCTCCTGCATATAAATCAAGACGATCGCTGTTGTCTGCGCGCTGCCGATTGCCTTTGCTGCCTCCATCGCACTTCGCAAATACTGTTTGACCGTCAATGTTGTGGTTGACAGCACAGAGACAAGCAGCGAATAGTGTGCCTGTATGTATTTGTTCCCGCAGGTCTGGACGGCGGCATCCAAGCCTTTGAGGAGATAGTTGAGCTGGTTGTGTTGGGGATGGCGTGGATTGTGGATGATGAACGCGGTGTTCATGGCAGCCAGGATGCCAAAGTTGCGCCTCACGTCTGAATGAGCGTGGTAAGAATTGGAGGCTGGCTGAGGAGCCTTGGACCCGTCCGAGGACGAGGAATGAGACGGGGTGAGACTGAGAAGGGGCGATCGGTAGGTTTCGAGGGCGGCTGTAAGATTGCCTGTACCTTGCCATATAGCTCCTTTCAAATAGAGCAAACAGGACTTCGTGTTGACGGGAAATGCGTCCCCCATTTCCTCTGAGATGGTGCTGATCTGTTTCAATGTCTCGGTTGCTGCTTTCCAGCTGCCCTTTGAGCACTGCATGAAACTGAGCAGGAACAGAAACTGAGCTTCAAGCAGCCGCCGAAATGTATGTGTTCCCTGCGACTGCTGATAGCCTCTCACTCGTGTCGAATCGCCCCAGGACCGCAGGACCGAGAGGCCGCTTGCTGCAAACCGTTCCGCCTTTCCACCATCAGCTCCATTCTTGTAGGCACAGCTGTCAGCACTGAAGAGGAATCCCAAGGCCTCGACTTCTTCCTTCTCCAGCCAGGAGAAGGATAGAAAGAATTTGCCGTTTCGTTCGATAATGTGACCGTTGGCTTCGAGTTGGATACCGGCTATTGATCGTTTGTGTACGGGAACATAGATGAAGCTATCGTCCCTCCAGTTTGGGTTGTCAATGGCTTCGTAAAGGACATTGTGCAGCATTTTGCGCTTCTTCTCCATCTGGCCAATATCACAATCCCGAATACTGCAAGAAAGATCAATAAGTTCCATCAGTATAGTCATCTGTGGTATACTTTCGACGTTTGGGTCCAATTGTAACGACCGTGCTTTTGCCAAAGCTGTCTGTGTGGCAGTGATCGCCTCATGACTGGAGCTTGACAAATGCAGCAATGCCTCAAGAATAGCGGCAAAGGCCAAGATAGAGCTATCCCCATTCTGACGGGCAAGTGCTGCGATCTTCTCCAGTTGTACAGTAGCCGTGTGGACTTCACCGGGAGCAGATGAAGCCAGTGAAAGCAGAGCGAGTTGGAAGCGGAAGATATACAGCCATACTGTATGGCGGTAGGCTTCAACATCCTCGATCATCCTCTCTATGTCTCTCAAGGCAGCCTTAGGTCTGGATTCGTATAGCACTTTGGACAGAAGCAGCTGCATCTCATATTTCAGATTGATAAGCTTATGCCGCTCACAAAGATCAATCGATTTTGTCAATCTTGTTTCAGCTTCGTCGTAATTTTCCGTCTCTTCGTAGAGTATCTCGGCATAACGCAACGAAACCTGAGCCTCTCGCAACGGCGGAAGTTTGAAGTTGGCGAGCGCAGATTCGAGACAGCCGACAGCAGTAGCAACTAAACGAAAATACTCTTCGGTCAAGGCGGGTTGTTTGCGAGCCGCCTCAAGGTAGTCATCGGCTAGGACGCACAGAAGGGTGGCATAATCGGGTTCCGGTCCAGCAGCAGAATCACTCATTTGTGAGGTTTCGGGGGCTCCTTGCTTCGGTTTCCTGTCCATATCCCTGGTCTGTAACGACCGAGGTTGGCTCTGCTGAAGGGTTCTGTGCTCCGATTTTACTTCAATTGTCGACTCTGAATCTTCCAGCTTCACCCGAGGGTGAGCTTTAGCCACGTTTGGTGCTGGAATGTTGACCACCACATTGGGCTGTTGTTGATGCCCCGATGTGTAGTGACCACGAGGCTGTGGCTGGTCCTGTAGTGCGGGCTGTTGAAACGGCTGCGACACAGGTTGGATCTGAGGATGATACTGAGAGGGAGACTGGAGCTGAGGATAAGACTGACCGTAGTAGGTCTGTGGAGGGCGAGACTGATAATCGGATTGAGGATGGTGTTGCTGTTGCTGTTGCTGTTGCTGTTGCTGTTGCTGTTGCTGTTGCTGTTGCTGTTGCTGTTGCTGTTGCTGTTGCTGTTGCTGTTGCTGTTG